TTAAGCCCACCGGCATACGAGACTACCAGAAGAAGCTGGGATGTCTTCTCTTCGCAGCCGTCACCTGTCGCCCCGACCTCTCATAGTCCGCAAGCCAGCTCGCCACCTACCTCAAGAAGCCTGAAGTAGAACACCTGGCAGAGCTCGACCGCGCTCTACACTACTTCGTCAGCACCCCAACGATCGGCCTAACTTACTACAAGAACGCAACCACACCGACTAAGTTAATCGGCTACGTCGACGCTGATCACGCTGGCGACTCCGACAATAGGCGCTCTCGCACCGGCTACATCTACCGTCTCGAACCTATCGGACCTATCTCCTGGCAATCGAGCAAGCAGGAACTAATTGCTCTCTCGTCAGCTGAAGCAGAATATATTGCACTCTGCTCAGTCACCAAGGAAGGACTCTATCTTTGCGAGCTGCTGGAAGAAGCGAAGTTAGCCGAGTTACCCAGCTTTACCCTGTTCTGGGACAACCAGTCGGCAATTAGCATCGCCAACAAGAACGACTTCGCGAACAGGACGAAACACATCGCCCTGCGATATTTCTTCGTGAAGGACGAGATCGAGAAGGGAAGGCTCGAGCTGTCATACTGTCCCACGTCCGAGATGGCAGCTGACTACCTGACCAAGAAGCTCGGAAAGCAGAAGTTCGAATACTGCATGCTGCTGACTGGACAGAGCCACGTCAGCGACACTCCAGAAGCGAAGGGGAGTGTTGGAAACAATCGGTCCTAAGCGCCTCTGTCGTGTCGAAACACTAAGGCACAAGCGAAGCAAAGCATATCGAGGCACCAGCGAGTCAACCCTCGGAGGTTGAAGTAACTGCTGGAGGTTACGCGAAAGTCAAAGGTCAGCGACCTTTGACCTGACAAGTACAGCGCGACAGCAAGGATACACAACTGACTCGCTACAGAGCAGTTGCCCGGGTCGTCACTGTATCGAACCGCAATAGCAACAAGTAAAACAGTTACAACCGTATCTCTTCGTATTCCTTGTACTCTTATATAATCTTGTATTTCTTTGTTTTAATCAACTTACTTTGCCCTCACATACTAGCGCAAGGTGGTTCACAACTCCTTATTAACGCTTCCGCTACTACACCAACTCTACCCAGAGTTTACCCCTGCAAAGATCCTAAGGGCTTGTTCAGCCCAACAAGTGTAAGGAAAATTCATTTTCCTTATTTCGCATCCCTGCTCAACGCGTACATCAATGTAGCACCACTGTCAGCACCGTTACCACTCGCAACCCTCGCATCGACAATCCGCCCGCCACCTTCGCACATCGCACCCTGACCTCACGGCTCGGCGGGTAACCCGCGCTCCGGGCCTCCGCTTGGACACTTTTTCCCAACCTCAGTCCCACCCAGGCCCGTCGCGCGACAACTACAGTCCATTACTGTTACCAGTGTAGTTTCGCTATATATTCTTCGCTCATGCCTTCGCTCATTGTACTCTTGCTTCGATAGTGCAATTCTCGTTCGTTCACTCAATTGCACTCGTAACACTTGTAGTGAGACTATTTTCTGGTATTTATCCAAGCACTTGCATTCATCTAATTCTACAATTGCAGAAACGGATCAGTTCTTTGCGAACTGGGATTCCCAAGGCTCCCAACAAAAAGTCACCCTCATACCTCCAAACCATTTTCACCTAGAAGAATCTAGATAGACTTTGCATTGTTGCCTCCTAGCCTAAACCAGCTGAAGCAACTTTAGGTCTCTAGTCCTAGTTTCTTACCCCGCTGCTAGTCTACAATCTACGATCGCTTGCGGTCGTCCGTTTTGACTTTGGTTTGTTGCGGTCGTAGTGGGGTGAGGGTAGAAGAATGGCGGATTCCCAGGCCTGCTTGCTTTTGAAGAAGCAACTGAGAGGTGATTAACCAACGGGTTGCTTTTTTCGTGGAGTTGCTTGTATGGGTCGACGTGAAACGGCTCTGATGGATCTCCTTTGACGGTGAAGCATGTCGCTCGATTCCGTACTTAGTCGTTTTCGTAATCCCTTGCGCAGATTTGCTGAAGAATCCCGTCGATGGGTTCTCTGCGGGTCTCGTGGACGATTCTAATCTTTTCGAGTGGCAAGTCACGATCATCGGCCCGCCGGATACCCTCTAGTACGTGTTTCCCAGATTCTACTCGTTAACCCTTTCCCGCTTATCCGCGATAAGGAGCAGACCGGTACATGATATTAATGGATGCTTTCCGGTTTGGCAGTGAGGGTGGATTCTTCAATGCAATCATGAGCTTCCCAAACAACTATCCCAACAGCCCACCGCAAGTCCGCTTCACCTCGGAAATGTGGCATCCAAACGGTGAGCTTTTTTATGTATGAAACCGGTGAGTCTCCGTTGTATCGAACAGTGCCATAGTCGATGGCAATTTAACGCCTTTCGATTCCGGGTCGCTTCTCCGAGTCCCTGCGTCCGTGACTCATCTCGCGTGTTTGTTTAACGAGTTAAATCATATAGGAGCTTAGCTTATGACCTGGTTATACTTCATGAAGCTGCTGCTTGCGCTCATCGGTATTGAGAGAATGATGATTATTACCGTTGGTTCTTCTCAATGGTATGCGCTATTCGTTCTTCTCCATGGCAGTCTACCCAGACGGCCGGGTGTGCATATCGATCCTGCACGCACCTGGCGACGACCCTAATGGATACGAGCTGGCAAGCGAACGCTGGTCGCCCGTGCACACTGTAAGCTCCTTTTCGTCTTGTCTCCCTTGCACACAGTACGGTCCCTCTCATATCCTGTTGGTTCAGATTCGTCTGTTCCCCGTGCACAGTGTCGTCTCCACTCAGGGGCCTTTGGGTAGTTTTCAGAGTCATCTATCCACGCATGCGTATCCTTTCCAGTCTTTGACAGTTCTTGTACTGGATTACTGAAGCATAGATTCCTCAATGCGTTCTGTGCTTGTGTTTTTCTTTGGTAGGTGGAGACCATCTTGTTGAGCATCATCTCCATGCTCTCTAGCCCCAACGACGAATCGCCTGCTAATATCGACGCAGCGGTGAGCAGTGTGATCTGAGCCCCGCATCACCGTGTCTTTATGTTTCTGGGTTTCTGCGTTGCTGTGTTGCTGGGTTGCTGGGTTGCTGTGTTGCTGTGTTGCTGGATTGCTGGATTGCTGGGTTGCTGGGTTGCTGTGTTGCTGTGTTGCAAAGCTACAGTCATTGTGTGAGCTCACCAGTCCTGATGCCAATGCATTGCCTCCTATTGTCCCTTTAAATTCTTGCTCACTTTCCCTCTTGCCCTCTCACTCTTCTCTCGCCATCTTGCCTCCCCTTGCACCTTCCCTTTCAACTCGTACCATCTCCCCTCATGCACCTTTTCCCACCTGGTCTTCCCATTCTTTTGCGCTCTTATTCTCTTTTGCCCCTTTGCGTTCCTCACTCTCGTTCACTCCTCCTCCCCATTTACCTGCAATATGGCTTCTGCTGCCAGCCTCATGCTTCCTTCCCCCTCACACCTAGTCACCACCTTGTTAGATGTATAATATGTCTCGCCTAACTCTCCCTTCTCCCATCCCTTCCCCAAACCCACTTTCCTTGCCTTTTAAGCACACATGCCCACATACATTTTTGTCTGCTCAGCACCCCTTCATGTGGTTCAACGCCTGAGCTGTGCCCTTGTCCCTTATTGTTTTTTTTATATATATATACAGAAAGAGTGGCGGGAGACACGTGACGTCTTCAAGAAGAAGGTTGGCAGATGTGTAAGAAAATCACAAGAGGAGATGTGACCTTGCGTGGGACATCCTTATCGAAGTGTGTAGGCTTTTTGGTTAGGTAAAGGTCAGTCTAGAGCCTTGCCCTATTGTTGTAAGTTCCACCTTTTTTAGCAGAAAGCATTAGTTAGGAAACTGTTCCCCAATGCATATGGAGTTTGGTGAGTGATCCTTAAACACTACACTGCTTCTGTGATCTGTTGGGCTTGAGTAGCTCGACCTAGTATGAACTATTCCGGTTTTCATCTATGCCAGATTCTGTACTTTAAAACTTCACAACTTGGGAGTCTTCCTACTACCCTTGTCACTCTGCTTCAGCTCAAGGTTTTGCACATGCACTATCCACGGGGCAGACTAGTCCCAGTACCGTAATTGGCATTGGAGGGGAATGAGATGTGAATGCACATTGCCGTCTGTACAATGTGCGATAAAGGTACCACTTTCATCTGTCCTGCACCTCGGTAATAGCTACAGTTCACCATTATGAAGTGGTCGTTTACCAGCAACATGCAAATAGAGATTGCAGTACTTGTTGTGTCCATTATTCCTTTGAAGTTCGATCCACAACACATGTAGCATGTGAAACAGTGCTTACTCAAGGTCTAGGGTGAACTATAGCGGGAAGGGGATGCAATGGCCAGAGTCCACGTAGGGTCCGAAGCGCGTCCTCTAGGGGTTTGCCTTTTTGCGTTTTGACGACGAACACGTGGCCCTTCTTGAACCCAACCCAAGCCTCCTAGCTGGGAACCAGTCTTCAAAGCTGCCACGTCAGTGTGCGGGTGTGTATGTCCCATCTCATGCACACCACACCGCCATTTTATTGTTCCATTGCCCGTAACACCGCAGCACGAGTGAGTCAAGCCTCACCACGCTTTTCATTTGCTGCCCGAAACCATCCATTTGTCGGTCGGATTGCAGTGCGAACGCTTTTGTGGACTCCGGTGTCTCTCATTGGATAGCACTTGAAAATTGTGTGGGCAAACAGGCGAGTCGCGTTCCTTTGGGCTTGGAGCAAAAGCAACCTTGAGAATATGCTTGGCGGGGGAACAACCCCCGAGGCCTCGCATACTACGTCATCACCGCCACTACCTGATTGGTCGAAGCGGTTCGTCCAACAAACCTCAGGCTCCTCTCCCGTTTTGCATAAACATTTAGTTTCAGCTCAGTTCTGTACGACTTAGCTAACTTTGTGTGCTTTGGCTTGTCCAGTCAAGCCGTTCCTACTCTCCAGCTTTCTTTCTTCGGTGTTTGCGTCAGAATTTCTGCAGTCATGGCCGCTTCTAACGACTATGGCTCCTTCACTGCCGTGAACCTCGAGCGCGAGCCCTACTGGCCCGAGAAGAAGCTCAGGATCTCCGTCACTGGAGCTGGCGGCTTCATCGGGTCGCACATTGCCCGCCGATTGAAATCGGAGGGTCACTATGTGATCGCGTCGGACTGGAAGAGGAACGAGCACATGACCGAGGACATGTTCTGCGACGAGTTTCATCTCGTCGATCTACGTGTTATGGACAACTGTCTCAAGGTCACCAAGGGAGTGGAGCATGTGTTCAACCTGGCTGCAGACATGGGTGGCATGGGTTTCATCCAGTCGAATCACTCCGTGATTCTGTACAACAACACCATGATCAGCTTCAACATGCTCGAGGCTGCTCGCATCAACGGCATTTCTCGGTAAGGCTCTCGAAATTATTTGAATTATGCATATTGAGTTTACGAGATTCACGCGTGACGGGCCTGACGTCTTTTCGGTGTGTCACTCTTGCAGCTTCTTCTATGCCTCGAGTGCATGCATCTACCCTGAGTTCCGTCAACTTGAGACCGACAACGTCAACTTGAAAGAGTCAGATGCCTGGCCCGCTGAGGTGAGTTTATTGGATTGCGTAACTTTCGCATCGGTTTGCATTTTAAACGAGTTGGATTGGGTCTTTTCTTGGTGGAGGATACTTGTTCACATGTAAGATCTGACACGGACTCTGCCTCTCTGCAGCCCCAAGACGCGTACGGTCTTGAGAAGCTGGTGACCGAGGAGCTGTGCAAGCATTACACTAAGGACTTCGGCGTGGAGTGCAGAATTGGCCGTTTCCACAACATCTACGGTCCCTTCGGCACCTGGAAGGGTACGTTTCTGTATTGACACACATTGGTCCCTCTTAATTCCTAGTCCTAAAGCTTCCTAGTTGCACTCTCAAGTCAAAGAACGGATTTGACGGAATTTGCTTCCTGTTACAGGTGGCCGCGAGAAGGCGCCAGCAGCGTTTTGCCGCAAGGTGCTTACTTCCAAGGATCACTTCGAGATGTGGGGTGATGGCAAGCAGACGAGGTCCTTCACCTTCATCGACGAGTGTGTGGAAGGCGTGCTCAGGTATGTGGGTGTGTAATGCATGCAACCCTCAACGAACAATCGACGCATGTTGCTGCTAGCAAAACGCGATAAAGATGTACAGATCGAGTCACCTGAATTACACATTTAGTGTCTGTATCATTTTCTAGAATTTTTAGCCTCGGACCCCGCGTTGCGCTGTCGTCCTGTCGTTCCTTTCCACGACCATACGTTTATAAGCTCGTTGACATAAGCTCTGCCTTTGTGTTGCAATCGCAGGCTGACCAAGTCTGACTTCAGGGAGCCGTTGAACATTGGGAGTGACGAGTGCGTGAGCATGAACGATATGGCGGCCATGGTGATGAGCATCGACCACAAGGATCTGCCCATCAAACACATCCCGGGTCCTGAGGGGGTGCGTGGGCGCAACTCGGACAACACGCTTATCCGGGAGAAGCTGGGCTGGGCTCCGTCCATGAAGCTAATTGTGAGTAATCTAGCTACCATTCACTTAACTCCTTGTGCTACTGTGTTTTTCCCTCCTGATTCTTCCTGCTTTTCACCCTACTACCTGGATTTGCGAGTCTTTCTATGGCCATTCTTCAGCACAGTTCTGACGATGTTTCCTGGTTAAATCTTGCAGGATGGTCTGACGATCACGTACAAGTGGATCACGACACAAATTGAGAAGGAGAAGGCCAAGGGTACTGATGCGTCAACATTCTCCTCTTCTAAAGTGGTCGGCACATCAGCACCTGTAGAGCTAGGATCGCTAAGGAAGGCTGACGGGGAGGAGTAAATCATGTGGTTTTCAAAAACATCACTCGAAAATACGTCTCAGAAGCTTCTTTAGTGCTGACAAGTGACTGGTAGCTGCTGCTGTGACGCTGCCCAGCCTGCTCTACATTCTTTGCTTGTGCCCAAGCCCATAATCTCGCTCATGTTGTAGCAATTTCTGTAATTTGTCCACTTCCAATACAACGTTTTCTTGAAAGATACTTCCACGTGTAAGCAAAAAGCGTGAAGCATAAATGGGACCGTATGTGAATGACATTCTCTAGGTTTGTGGGATTGCAGATCATCTGCAATTGATTCTAAAAAACTCATGACAGTGACCCATAATTCGCAGGTATGTTTCATTTCAATCAAACCTTGAAAAAGCAGTTATATGAGCTTGTGGATTTGTTCACATCAAGCCTTGTGGCAGAGTAATTTGTATCCATTGTAGCTTACAATATCTTTCCCAGCAAAACATGTTACGATGCTGGTATGGTATCCATCACAGCTTGAGAAATGACCCTGGGGATGCACCACTAGGTGACCCACCACTTCTATCCCGCTCACTTCCATCGTCCCCATGGTTGAACCCTTGCATTTTAGCCAAAGCTCCCACATGCCGTTCTGCGGCTGGCTGCGATTGATGCACAAGTGGTCGCTGCTGCTGTTCTCCCATCTGCTGTTCCCTGTTCCAAGTACCATGCTGTCCAGATCCGCTCTGCTGGCAAGTGGGGTGGAGAAGAGGTTCTTCGGCCAGCTTCAGGCTTGTGGCTGCTGCTTGCAAAGAGGGCTTTTGGGGGGATTCACAGGACTGGCAAAGCTTCCATGTTACTTGAATATCCTTCCTTCCGCTGCTACCTTCGCCAGGCTGCCTCCGCTGTTCGCCTCCCTCCCTTGCATGTAGATTCTGTTGTTGCTGCAGCTGTTCCTCATGCTGCTGCTGCTGTGTTCTCTGCACATGTAACAAAACAAGGCAATATTAGTGTCAGCGCCTGTAACCTCTTAGCGAATTCAACTCTAACCCCTTCAACAGGAAAGACGGAAAAGTGTCAAGGCCCAACCACTCACACTGAGCCTCTCCCTGAGGCGGCGATTCTCATCAGCGAGTGTCTGGCAGCGCCGCCTCAACCCGTCCAGCTCCACTTCTGTATCCTTCACCTTGGTACGAGCCCTGCGGTTCTGAAACCACACCTCCACCTGCCTCACTCTCACGCCCAACTGCCCTGCCAATGCGCTCTTTTCCCTGGGAGTGAGCCTCGGGGTTTTCCTGAATACTGCCTCCATTGTGCTCTGCTGCTCCTGTGATAGCCGCATCTTCCTCTTGTTCCCGCTTCCCTCCGCGTCTTCCCCTGCTTCTGCTGACACCGCTTCCCCCTCCTCTCCCCCTTCTGCTCCTTCAGTCCCCCTCTCACCTGCTTCCCCTTGCTCTCCCCATTCTGCTCCCCTGGGTTCTCGTTCTCCTTCTTCCCCATACCCGCGCCCCTCTCTGGTTCTCTTCCCTGCATGGACACCTGCAGCAGTTGCACCAAGAGCTGTTCCAACAGCAGTCACATTAGGAGTAGGCGGCATGGAAACAGCAGCAGTAGGAGTAGCAGCCATGCTGTTGCCAGCAGCAGAGTTATTCCTGGCAGCAGCAGTAGCAGCCACATTACCAGCATTGCCACCAGAAGTCCCAGCAGCAGCACGTCCCGAGGCAGCAGCAAGAATTGCTCCGAGCCTCTCCGACAAGTCTGGATCCAAGCCTGCTGCCGCCCTTGCCACACCCATCCCCCCAGCCTCGCCCACAACTGCCACACCTTCTGACCCCCGCCTCCCCGTTCTCCACCCCTCCTCCAACCTATCCATTTTAAGCCTCGTCTCGACCTCCCTACCTGCATCCCCGGCTTCCCTTTCCCCTCTCCAGTTGCTGTCTACTGCCCTTCCCACTGCCTTCCCCCCTACCGTCTCATCTCCCTTTTCACCATCTCCTGGCCTCGTCGTTTGTCCTTCATTTCCTATTCGTGTCTGTAAAATTGGTCGCACGCCCGCATCTGCTGTTGTCGCTGCCGCTGCCGCCGCCGCCGCTGCTGTCAAGAGTCCAGGATGGTTTTTGAGAAACTCAAGTCCCCGCGCCCAAACTGCAGGCTCGATTCCTGAAGGTGCTGGCATATTTTGCACTACATGCGAATTCTGTTGATGAGTTCGCTGTAAATGCAAGTGAGGTTGATACAATTGTAACGCTGGGCCGGAGTGTAGTTGTGACCCACTCACGTCACGACCACCTTCGCCACCTCGATGTGCACCACCCAACGATCTCAACCATTCGAATTCTGTCTCTGCGATAGCACCTGCATTTGCGCGTTTTCCTTCCGCCCCTCCGCCTACATAATTCGCCCCCCTTGTTTGCGCTGCCGCCGATTCCCCCTCGTCGTTATCCATTCGCCTCCCCGATTCTCTACTACCACCTACCCCGAGCGCTATATGTCCCCTTTCCGCGCTTATGCCAAGTTCACCGCCGCCGTTTCCCCCTTCGCCTGGCGAGTGCGCACTCTTACTCTGCGCGAGCGGCGCTGTGACGGGTCCTGCCGCGCCCCAGAGACGCGCCAGCAGCGGGAGATTCTCCTGAACCCCTGCATTCCCGCCTGGCGCGCCCAAAAGCCGCGCCAGCGCAAGCTCTGCTGCGGACCCAGCGCTCGCGTTGGGGTAGGAAGCGGAAGCGGAAGCGGTAGGTGCTGATGTTGGGGAAGGAGCCGCGGGAGCGGAGGCTCTGGCCAGGGGAAGAGGGGGAGAGGAGAACGGTGCGGTAGTTGCGGGAGGAGCTCCAGGGAACTGTGCAACGGAATCCACCACCACCGCTGCTGCATCGTACGTCAACGGCGCCGCCGCAGGCGGCGGCGCTGGCGGAATGTTGGAGCCGCCCGGCGAATCGGGCGACGTCGAAAAGGGAGCTCGCCGAGCTCCGCTTGGAGCGGCAAAAAAATGCGGCGGTCGAGTCGGTGGGGGAACTGCGCTATTAGGAGCATTTGCCGCGCCACGATTGAGAAACACATCGTTTGGCTGTCGTGCCGAGAATCGGCCTGCTGACTCCGCCACAAGAAGAGACGGGGAGAACGGCCGCGAGCGGAACAGAATCTCTTGTAGCTGGTACTCCTGTAGATGCTCTGGGTGCTGTTGCTGCTGCTGCTGCTGCTTCTGCCGAACCTGTTGAAGAGCCTCGGACGGAGCTTTGGCAGGGCGGTTAGCATCAGTGGTAGTACTAACCAGCGTCATTCCCAAGGTGGCCGCGAGGGAACCTCCCGCTGCGGGCGGACTACGCGTTCGGCTGTTCGACGTGGGGAACCTTTCCAGCTGCGAGCTCGCCTCTGCCGCCGCTGGCCTCGTGCTTGACGCGCTTCGAGAAAGCACCGCTTCGTCGGCGAATCGCGGAGTGGCGTCTCGCAAAGAGGCCGCGTCTCCCCTTCTGGAAGCGCCGGCGGGCGGCGTCAGCGTGAGGGCCAAGTCCGTCGCCAGCAGATCCCCCGCCGCGTCGGCATTCTCGAGGCGGCTGTTCGCCCCGTCCATTTGCGCTTCCAGGCTTCGACGACGACTGGTGCGTGCCGTCGAAAGCGCTGCTGCCGTCGCAGCGGCTTAGAAGTACGACCGCGAATAGAGGCGTTCGAGGTGCACGAATGCCAGAAGCAATGCGTGTGGTGGCTACCGTACCGGGCGTGACTGTTACTATACTGCCTCTGTGTCAGGTTACTCAGCTAGCGTAACACCGCTCAGCGCATGCTGATCACCGTGCGCCGCATGAAATTCCTTCTCGAGGTCAGGCGGCGCCTCAGGTGCAGCCACTACACCTCAACCCGCCTGCCGCGCCGCGCCATCGGCCACATCGCCGAGTAAAGGTTTTTAGCCTAGAGTCAACTGAAAGCCCGCTGTGACGAGTGCGAAGCGGTCCAGAAGGCGCACGTGACCGTGCCTCTCAGGAACATAGCTAAGTCCTGGTTCTGAGTTGCTGAATACAGCGATCCACGGCGGGACGTGGCGCGATGAGAAAGCTGAGCAGATGTACCAATTGCCAAAGCAGTGCCGCTGAACTTCAGCACTGTGTTGAACACAGTTGTAACCTCTCTCTGTTGTCGTGCTGTCGGTGCTGTGGGCGCAACAGTCGGTGAGACGAACATCTGCTGTCACAGTACGTAGCTGATGTGAATTGATTGCGCCAATCAAGCGGAAGAAAAGAGATTAATGAGGGCGGAAGGTTCTCGGAAGGCTCTTTTTCCGTGAAAAGATATGTCTACGATTGCTGTAACAGTAAGTTTGCCCTGCTTTGCTTGATCGAAGGCGAAGATGTCATGAGGTCTGCCTGCAGGCGTTCTAAACTCCAATGATCTGATCACCGCGGATGTAAAGCCAATCAGAGGGCTGACGTGTGCGTACGTTTGTTCTCTCGTACAGTACTGCACTTGTAACGAACCATCATGAACATGGACGACTATCGAGCAGAATGCGGTTCACGATGCCCGCACGATGAAGGAGACATGGCCAGTGGCCACTGCACTGCAATACAATTCGCATTCTGTGATCGGATCGGAATTCATGCACAGGTCTGCAGAAATGGCGAAACCGTTTTTCTCGGTCGGTGAAGACAATGGTGAAGTGCCGTACAAGGCTCCATGGAGCCGGACTGGATCTGGCGCCTAACGACAGCCGCTACAGCGTCGCATGGTCGCATCGTGTTGGCTCATTGTCGCACGTGCTCTGAGATGAAAGAGGCAGCGGTGAAGTGCCGTACAAGGCTCCATGGAGCCGGACTGGATCTGGCGCCTAACGACAGCCGCTACAGCGTCGCATGGTCGCATCGTGTTGGCTCATTGTCGCACGTGCTCTGAGATGAAAGAGGCAGCGAATCTGGCATTTGCCAGTGAAACAATGCTAAACTATGCAACGGCACGTGAATTTTCCTCCGCTACGATGAATTGGTCGTAAGGATGAGCATGTGACGCAACGCAATGCAAGGAACGGTAGGATCGATGGGATGGGATGGGATAGGATGGGAGCAAGCGAACGAGGCGGCGTTACAATCTGGACTCCGAGGAAAGGCGTGACACGCGGGAAATGGTCGAAGCGAAGACGGTTTCGAAAGCTAGGAGCTCACCATGACGACAAAACCGGTGGTTGTGGAGTTGAGTTCTGTAGGATGCTGGCTTTCTTGCAGTGACTAATGTGACGAGATCAAGCAGGGACGGGCTTGACCAAGCAGGAGCAGTGCTGCTTGAGCTGGAGGAAACATCCACTAGTGAAATGAAACAGCCCCCTTTTGCCACTTCTGGTCCGAACTGAAATACAGGCTAGTACATCTACCCAAAAGAACGGCAATCGCCACCAGATCGTACTGTACTGCGTGCGTAGACGGACGGGACGGGACGGGACACGGACTACTGGACGACACAAATGCAGAACTGCACGACTCTGTACAGTTCAGATCAGAATTTGTAAGCACTGCCTCTGTACCAGGTACCCGGTGGAGAAAATGGGGACTTCGGAAAGTGGAAGCAGAAATGGTCGCAAATACCGTTGTAGGGTGCCTGTTTGACGCACTAGTACAGTAGCATGCCTTCGTGTGTTTCACCGTTTTGGACCGTACCAACAGAGAAAACTGTCCTCCGACACATTCGTTTTGTCCAGTGCCATTGGCCAACTGGGAACAGCGTGGGGAAGAGAAACTGTCGAAAATGTTACCTGTAGTTTCCGAAATAGGGAAGTCCGTCTGTGGGGTTCGATGCCAGCTTGCGTCATGAGAAGCTTCTTGGAGGCTTACGCTCATAAATGACGATTTCCCTACCACATCAGCAAACATTTTTGCGTACCGAACAGTATTTTGGATTGCCCGCTTTGACCCAGTCTTCATGGGCCGGGAGAACTACGCCGTGAACATTAGTTTGGATAGCGTACCTTTAAGGTGCTCACTTCTTAATGCCAAGGCTAGAGTTGTGTAGATGCCACAAGCTGGGTCTTAATTGCAAAAGGCACTATGAAAGGAAGAAAAAACACAGAAAATAACGAACGGAATGTAAACAGGGAAGCAGAAAGGTGGCAATACACTCATTTCTCTTGAAGCCATTTGTTAAGCCTCTCTTGACATTCACCCTGCACCTCTTTGAACTCCTCCAAAAACCCTTCCTCCACTTCTCCAGCTTTCCCCTTTGAAGCCGTCGGCAGGACCAAAACTACGCTAGTGGGCCGCTTTGTGATGGCTGCATTACCCAAGTCCTGAGACACAGAAAACACAGAGGAAGGTGTATTAGAGAGGCAAAAATCCATCAAGTACGAGTGAACATGGCAAAGGAGGTGCGGAGGGAGAATAGGATGGGACAAAGTACCTTAGCTAAACAGCCTCATATGATAACAGGCTTAAATATAACCAGTTGGACGGAACAGAGAACGGAATTGATGGAAAAAGAACTTCCGCAGGGGAGTTGGGTCGCATAAACAGTGGTAACAAGAGATCATAAGAACAAAGGAGACATGAATACGTGAAACACTGCAACTAGCAGGAGTGGAGGTAAGAGGGTTACACTGTTACACATACCGCACGGCTGGGCACGTATGTGTAGGGAATGTTGGCCTCCTCACACACCACAGGGAGATGCGAGATGACATCAATGGGCGACACGTCCCCTCCCAACACACACACCCTGCACAGAGCAATGCAGTCAGAGGGAAGAGAAAAATACGACTCTTGAGTTGACTCCTATGGACACGTCCCCTCCCAACACACACACTCTGCACAGAGCAAAGCAGTCAGATAGAAGGGAAAGCAATGGACTTTATTGTTGACTCTTAAGGCCACGTCTCCCAGTATACAAACACACACACGGCACAGAAAAACAGCAAACGTTGGAGCAAAATTTGAAGGCTAGAAATACATGCTACATGAAGGAACAAAAGGACCAAACATTAGTTGGAGAATGTGAAGGGCACAAATAAACAGAGGAGCAAATAATTGAATGGGAATGGGGAGGAGAGGGGGAGAGAGGAAGGGGGGGACTGGGGGGAGGGAAGCGAGCGGGGAGGGGGGGAAGAGGTTGAGAGCGATGGGGGCAATTGCAACAAGAGCGCCCAATTCCCGCGATTGCAAGTCGGCACGACCCCCACCCCACCCTCTAATTCATCCCTCACATTTCCTCCTTCCGTCCTTCTCCCCGTCCCGCCTCTTTCCCCCCGTTTCCTCCTCACCCAACTCCCCGGCCGGACTCACCCCTTCTCGCCCTTGCGCACGGCCTTAGCAACCTCCTTCACCCCTCGCCGCAGGTACCCCAATCCCTCCTCCACAAAACCCCCTTTTAACCCCCCACCCTCTCTTCCCTCCTCCCCCTCCTAGGACTCACCCTTTCTCGCCCTTGCGCACGGCTTTAGCGACCTCCTTCACCCCTCGCCGCAGGTATCCCTTGTGCTTCGCCGCTGCTCGCACCAAGCGACCACACGACCACACAAACAGAAGGTGGGGGAGGGGGGCGAGGGTGGGAGCGGGCGTGGGAGCAAGAAAGGGGTGGGGGCAAGAAGGGGATTGGGAGGGGGAGAGCGGTGGGGGAGAGTGAGTGGGAAGTTGGTGGACAGAGCTACATTCGAGAAACACAGGCACGCCACACGGAGAACGCGCTCCTGTTACGGGTCCTTTTCACGAAAGGTTACAAGCCGGTGTTTAAAGCGAGAAATACCGTCCCTTAAGACGAGAAGGGTGAAGAAGACAGGGCCTCCTTAAAGCTTAAAGGAGCAGCATTCAAATCAGGGCACAATGCGACGGTTGCGACGGTTGTTTCCGGACTCAGGTAGCGGAAACATTAGCGGGTATCGAGGCATTGGATATCGAGGCATTGAATAGCGGCGACGCGTGGCTGGATATATCGCACTCGGCGACAGGGTGCACGTCGCCCACGCGCGCGCACGGCGGGGCGCATGGCGCACATGGCACACGGCGCGCATGGCACACGGCGCACGGAGCGCATGCGGTGCACATGGCGCAACAAGGCGCGCACCTTTCTTAACGAGCTGCAGCACTTTCTGGTTGAAAGACGGGTCCGCCAGCGGCTTCGCGATGGCGCACACGTTGCGCCACTTGAGCGCCACCGCCGCCTGCGCCGCCGCCGCCGCAACCACGGCATCCTTCTCCCCCTTCCCGCCCTTCTCGGCCCCCTCCTTCTCCTTCTTCTTCAATTTCTTCGGCGTCGCGCCGTCGCTCGCGGCGGCGTCGGTCTTTTTCTTCTTCGCTGATCGCTCGCCGCCGCTCGCCGTCGCTGCTTCCGTCGCCGTCGCGTCGCTCTTTTTCCGCTTCGGCGTCTTCTCGACCTCCTCGCCCGCCGCGTCGCTCTTGCTCTTCTTCGGCGTCTTCTCGTCCTTCTTTGCCATTCTGAATCCGCTAAAAGTCTTTCTTACTAAAGTCTCTTCTGGTGAACGTCACTCCTGTTAGACAGAATGTAATCCTTATATTCTTCCCGAAAAAAAATAACCTGGAGTACGCTAAACGCGGCGTGCGAGTGGAAGAGGTAACGCTGCTACGGATGTCGGCGACTAAAAGGAAGAGCTGCTGCGGGGAAGTGACCTGCTGCAGGATTAGGGTTTTCCAAAAAAAGATGAGAATTTGCGATCTTCTCTGCTCCAAGGAGGAGGGGCTTTTTGGGTGACTGGAGAGAGAAACATATCTCCTCTACAATCTAGCCCGGTCGAAGCGAATATTGTACCTAGAGTGAAACCGGAATTCAAGTTGAGACTACATAACGAGAGTCTAGCATAGTGTTTTACATAATTGCATTAATTGGTAGTCCGCGCATTTGGGTCCTGGGAGCTGTAAGTCACAGCAGATTTCTGCACAGCAAAACTGGAAACAGCCTCGTGTCCTTGAAGCATGCAAGCTATGTCTGAGATGTCTCCTGCAAGCAACCAATCCAATCCCATCCAATTTAATCCCATCGAACTCTGCCAACTCCCTCCTATTTTCTCCTTGCCAGTGGTCGCTTCGCCCTCACAATTCTCCTCCCGGCAATATTTGAACCTGCCGGTGTTTTCTCCCCTGCATCCCCCCCAGCACCCAGTGAAAACCCTCCAGGCGTCCCCACAAACCCCCCACCATTCCCAACCGCACCAAACCCCCCAAAAGGCGAAGCAGGAGCCGTTGCACCACTGATGCTGCCATTACCATTCTCACCAGAACCATCAGCATCAGCCGTATTACCAGCTGCTGCAGGGGGAGGGGTGAAGCCCCCAAATAGAGGAGCACCAGGAGCTGTTGCTCCTGTTGCTGGTGCTGCAGCAGAGGCACCAAAATTAAAAGTCGGAACACCGTTAACTGCTGACCCTCCAAATGTAAACACGCCCTTGCTGGCGCCATCAGCACTAGGAGCAGGTGAGCCAGCAGCGGCAGCAGCAGCAGGTGAGGCGGCAGCAAATGAGAACACGGGGGTTGCAGTTGGGGAAGCAGAGGAACCTGCCGGCTTGCCGAAGGAGAATTGCGGGGTGGACGGGGCAGCAGCACCAAACGAGAAGAGCGGAGCAGCGGCAGGGGACGAACCGGCAGTAGCAGGGGGCGAGGCAGCAGCAGCAGCAGCAGCAGATGAGCCGGCCGCAGGGGATGACGCAGCAGCAGGGGATGAGGCAGCAGCAGCATAAGGGCTTTTAGAGGCGAAGGAGAAAACCGGAGCAGAGGAGGCTGTTGGGGGAACGGAAGCGGTGGAGAGGTTTGAAGGGGAGAATTGAGTGGTTGAGGCCGGTGTGGAAGAGGGTGTGGGTGCAGGAGAGGAGGGAGAAGGGGAGGAGGGGGAGGGGGAGGAGGCGGAGGAGGGGGCAGCACCAAAGGAGAATATAGGAGAGGAAGATGCTGCTGCTGCTGCTGCTACTTTTGAGGCCCCCGATGCTGTCGCTAATGTTGTGCCAAAGAACAATGAAGGGGGCGAGGTGGCTGGGGATGAGCTAGAGGCCGGTGCAGATGAGGATGCAGCAGCAGCGGAGGGAGAGGACGAACCAAACGAGAACACGGGAGCAGTGGCAGTGCCTCCTGCTGCTTTCCCTGCTGCTCCTCCTGCTCCTGTTGCTGCAGCCCCTGCTGCTGCTCCTGGTGATGAGCCGAACTTAAACGGAGAAGACGAGAACGGGGATGGTGCTGATACTGCAGCTGGAGCAGAGGAGAGGGACGACGGAGCAAAAGCGGAGGAGGAAGCGGATGTAGATCCCGGCTTGTCCAGCGTCTCAGCTGGTGTGGTGGATGGCCGCTTCACAAACGGGTTAGGGAACGAACCACCATCACCATCAGCAGCAGCAAAAGGGCTACCAGCAGCTTTCCATTCAGAGGCACCACCACCAGCACCACCTCGCTTCTTTGGCCTGTCAGACTGCAGTCGTTCACTTCCCTCATCGTCTTCCCCATCCCCTCCGCCTGCTCCTGCCTCTGCAGCAACCCCTTTCCCCTCCGCACCTCCCGCACTGCTCCTCCCTCCAAAAGCAAACGGTGACGCTGCAAACAAAGAAGCTGCAGTGCCACCAGCAGCAGCAGCAGCAGCAGCAGCACTTGCATTAGCAGGACTGGCCGATCCGAAAACTGGAGCAGGAGTGGCGCCAACGGCGAATCCACTCTTAGGTGGTTCAGTGGCAGGAGGGGCAGAAGCACCAAACGCGAAGCCACTCTTGGCTGGCGCGGTGGCAGGCGTGGCAGAAGCACCAAAGGCAAACACCGGAGCAGCACTTGCAGCTTTCGCCCCCCCCGAACCTGATACCCCCGTCCCTGTTCCCGTGCCTGCTCCTGACCCTGTTCCCGTGCCTGTGCCTGTTGCGGCACCAACAGAGCCTTTCCCGCCGCCAAAGCTAGGGACCACAGACGAGGAGAAAGGGGAGGACGTTGCAAACAGGGCCTTGGGGACTTGTGCCTTCTCACCAGCAGCAAAAGCGCCAGCAGCAGCGGCAGTAGTGGCATTACTACCGGCAGTGGCAGCGGGGGATCCAAATGAGAAAGCGACGGGAGTGAGTGGGGAGGGCGGGGAGGAGGGGGCTTGAAACGCTGTGGCAGCAGCACTAGCGCCGGCAGCGGCAATTGCAGCAACAGCAGCAGCAGGAGCAGCATCAGCAGCACCAGCAGTAGCAGAAACTGCAGCAGCAGGAGAGCGTGGCTTCATGGCGTGCGATTGTGACGACACCGCCTTGCTGTGTGGTGGGAAAGAGGGGAACGGCAGGAGGAGTGAATTCGGGTGGGAGAGTCATGAAAGCAACAAACGGATTAAATCTGCTGAACTGGAACAACCCAAATACTGGATTGGGAAGACTTAAAGAAAACAGGAACTGGGACCATTAGTACCAGGAGTACCTACCTCAAGGACAGTGCTGACGAGCGAAATCCAAACTTTGGAACATCTGCTGATGCTGCTGTTGCTGCTTCTGCTGCTGCTGTCTTTCCAACCACTTGAGTGAAATCCAGACCTGCTGCCGAGCCTGTCCTGCTGCCAAAGCTGAACTTAGGCTCGGCGGTCCCCGCACTCTTCTTCTCTCCCGAAGCATCTTTAGGTGGAGAGGCCTGGGACTTGGAAAAGCTGCCCGAACCAAACAGCTTCGGGGTTGCCAGACCTGCAGACGGGAATGCCGAGCCTGCTGCAGCTGCCCCAGTGCCATGGAACGAGAAACCCCCAGTGAACCCTGTACCCGCATCCGCACCCGCTCCTGCTGACGTGGAACCAGGGGATCCACGTGGCTGAATAACAATGGTCGGCTGGTCAGATGACGTGGCACCTGCACCTGCCCCTGCACCTGCCCCTGCTGCTACACCTAAACCTGAACCTGCACCTGAACCTGCTAACTTCCCCTCTGTTTGCTTCTCTCGCAGCGTTACCTGCTCTCCCTCTGCCCCTGCCGTCCTGCTCCCACCCGCCCCCTCACCTACCCCAGTGCCTGCACCTGCACCTGCTGTACCTACACCTGCTGCAGTACCCGCAGCTGTACCTGCACCCACGCCCCAGACCGAACCTGCTCCCATACCTGTGGCCGAACCCATATTTGCCCCCGAGCCTGTGCCCGCACCTGCAGCCCAAGAAAATCCAGGCTTAGAAGCCGCAGCAGGAGCATGAGCAGCAACTGCAGCGTCAGCACTATTGGCAGCAGCACCTGTACCAAAGGCAGCAGCCGCAGGGGCAGCAGCAGGTGCACCAGAACCAGCAAAATAATCAGTAATAGCAGGTGCTGGAACAAAGCCGTTCTCTGTGTCCCCTCCTGCTCTGTACCCTCCCTTTTCCCTGCGATCCTCTGCAACCACCTCTTTCCCCTTCCCTTTCTGCCCCACCCACTCCAACCCACCAGTAGCACCAAAACCTGCAGCACTCACACCAGCAGCAGCTTCACCATCAGCAGCAGCAGGCACGCCTGCAACACTCACACCGGCACCTGAGAAACCACCTGGAGCAGGGTGCGCGGGCGGGAGGTCACCAGCAGCCTTTCTGCTCATGTACATGGGGAGGAACGTCAGGGGAGGGGCCACTATGTCGTCCCCCTCCCCCCGCCTGCCCCCCCGCCCCGAGCCCGAACCTGCACCCAGACCTGCACCCGAACCTGAACCCGAACCTGCCCCGAACCGATCGCCAACCCTAGATCTTGGGCCCAGCAATCTCTTCCAGCCATCCACGCCCCTGTCGCTAAACCCACCCTCAGCCCCACCAAACCCGCCAAACCCAATTCTATCCCCGCTTACCCCACCAAACCCGCCCAAACCCCTATCTCCACCAGCACCACTGCCAACCCCGTCTCCCCCGCCGCTTCCCCCCATGCCTCCGCGCCCCTCATCCCGCCCTGCACCCATCCCCCCCTGCGCCCCCGCGCCTGTGATATCCTCTAGCTTGGCGAGAATCTTCTGAGCTGTCTCTAGTGACTTGCCAGGGGCTAGAGTCATCCCAGACAGCACATTTTGCCCCGCCCGCTGCTGCCCCTCTCGCCCCTGCAGCCCCTGCTGCTCTTGCTCCAGTTGCTGCTGGCGCCTGTCTTGCCCGAACCGTCTATTCCCCTCTCTCCCTGACCCCTTTCGCCCGAACAGCCCAAACGTATCCCTCTCTGGGAACAGCCCTCCACCGTCTCCCACCCCTTCAAACGCCTTATCCCACGCGCCCTTCCGTGCACCCAGAGAAAACCCGGGCAGCTCCCCGGGCAGCATGCGCGGCCCGCCGCTGCTGCTGCGAGAGGCGAACGCGTGCAAACGGGCAGCCTGCCCGCGGAGCCGGGCAGAGGGAAGAAAACTTCCAGCTCCAGCAGAAAAGAGCGCAGGGGGGGGGAGGGGAGGGGCAGCTAAAACACCCAAACGGAAATCTGAAGGTCTTGAGATAGGACCGGGGAAAGAGGTAGGGCCGGGAGGGAAGGAGACTATGGCGAGGCGGTTGGGCTGGTGGGAGGCACGCAGGCGAGTGCGTCGTGCTGACTCGGTTCCCCTCAGCCAATCAACATCTGCCTCGTCATCGTCGCGAGCTCGCTTGGCGGACTGACAAGCAGAGGAGGGGATAAAGAGATGGAAAGGGGAGAGGGGATGGCGTGAAGAAGCGGAATTGGAAATAAATTCTAGCAGACAGAAGGAAACGGATGGGAATGCACCAGCAAATGCTAAATGTCGTCTCTGTATCTGCAGCAGCATCCATTCAACTCATCCATCCACTACCCACCTTAGGAGTAGCAGGCACTGAAGCAGCATAGCGGCTGCGAGAAGCAGCAGCGCCTGGGAACACAGCTCGTACCAGCTCCCCGTTACCATCCTCCCTCTCCTCCCCCCTCTCCCTTCCCCACCCACCCTCCTCTTTCTCCTCCCCCTCCTCCCCCCTCTGCTCCTCCTCCTCCCCATCCTCCTCCTCCTCCTGCCGCTGCCCCTGCTGCCCCCACGCGTCCCCCAGAACAGAATCCGAGGGCCGTCGAGAGCCCACCACCACCATCTCACCCCACCCGCTCGCCCTCCCGTCTCCACCCTCGCGCCCAGGAGAGGGATCATTGTCATCGTCATCATCATCATTAGCAGCAGCAACAGCAGCAGTGGGGGTACCGCCACCAGCACCGCTACCAGCAGCGGCGCCGGCAGCAATAGCAGCGGCGGCGGCGGTGGAAGCAGCGCGGAGGTCACCTCTCATGTACGCTTTGGCGATATCCACTGGCGACGCCCCGCCCTTGGGAAGGTGGCGGAGAAAAGGGGGAGGGGGAGGAGGAAGGGGGGGGGGGGGGGGGGGGGGCGAAGGGGGAGGGAGGGGCGGAAAGCGTGGGAAGGAAGGGGAGGCGTGGTAAGGAAGGGGAGGCGTGGTAAGGAAGGGGAGGCGTGGTAAGGAAGGGGAGGCGTGGTAAGGAAGGGGAGGCGTGGGAAGGAAGGGGAGGCGTGGGAAGGAAGGGGAGGCGTGGGAAGGAAGGGGAGGCGTGGTAAGGAAGGGGAGGCGTGGTAAGGAAGGGGAGGCGTGGTAAGGAAGGGGAGGCGTGGTAAGGAAGGGGAGGCGTGGGAAGGAAGGGGAGGCGTGGTAAGGAAGGGGAGGCGTGGTAAGGAAGGGGAGGCGTGGGAAGGAAGGGGAGGCGTGGGAAGGAAGGGGAGGCGTGGTAAGGAAGGGGAGGCGTGGTAAGGAAGGGGAGGCGTGGTAAGGAAGGGGAGGCGTGGTAAGGAAGGGGAGGCATGGTAAGGAAGGGGAGGCGTGGGAAGGAAGGGGAGGCGTGTAAGGAAGGGGAGGCGTGGTAAGGAAGGGGAGGCGTGGTAAGGAAGGGGAGGCGTGGTAAGGAAGGGGAGGCGTGGTAAGGAAGGGGAGGCGTGGTAAGGAAGGGGAGGCGTGGTAAGGAAGGGGAGGCGTGGTAAGGGAGGGGAGGCGTGGTAAGGAAGGGGAGGCGTGGTAAGGAAGGGGAGGCGTGGTAAGGAAGGGGAGGCGTGGGAAGGAAGGGGAGGCGTGGGAAGGAAGGGGAGGCATGGTAAGGAAGGGGAGGCGTGGTAAGGAAGGGGAGGCGTGGGAAGGAAGGGGAGGCGTGGTAAGGAAGGGGAGGCGTGGTAAGGAAGGGGAGGCGTGGTAAGGAAGGGGAGGCGTGGTAAGGAAGGGGAGGCGTGGTAAGGAAGGGGAGGCGTGGTAAGGAAGGGGAGGCGTGGTAAGGGAGGGGAGGCGTGGTAAGGAAGGGGAGGCGTGGTAAGGAAGGGGAGGCGTGGTAAGGAAGGGGAGGCGTGGGAAGGAAGGGGAGGCGTGGGAAGGAAGGGGAGGCATGGTAAGGAAGGGGAGGCGTGGTAAGGAAGGGGAGGCGTGGGAAGGAAGGGGAGGCGTGGTAAGGAAGGGGAGGCGTGGGAAGGAAGGGGAGGCGTGGGAAGGAAGGGGAGGCATGGTAAGGAAGGGGAGGCGTGGTAAGGAAGGGGAGGCGTGGGAAGGAAGGGGGCGGACACAAAGGGGCGGGGAAGGGGGAAAAGGGGAGGGGTTGTGTGAGGAGGGACAGGGGGGAAACAGAAGGTGCAGTGCGGAGGCGAGCAGGTGGGATGAGAAGGGCGCGGCTACGGAAGGGCGAGAAGATGGGAGGAAACGGGAAGATAATTACATCAAGGAAAAAAAAACAAGTGATACAACCTCACACAGCTCGACCTCTTTTCCTGCTCGCACCTCCCCCCTGTCTCCCTTTTTCCTTTCCCCGCTGTCCGCTTCCTTTCCCCTACCTTTCCCCTTCCTTCCCCCTTACCCTTCTCCGTTCCTTCTCCCTCCGCCTTCTTCCTTCATCCTTTCCCTTCCACCCCCCTCTGCCGCCAACGCTTACATCGGGCGTGTGAAACTCCTCGTCCTCGTCCCCGTCAGCAGCACCGCCATCCACGTCAGCAGGCGACGCCCAACCATTGGTCACCGGCGTGGCGAATCTAGATCCCGGATCTCCGCCAGTCAAACCCTTTCCAGCAGACCCCCTACCAGCAAATCCCCTTCCCGACGGCACCGTCCTAGCAGCGCCTTTGGAAGGAGCGGCGAAGGTGCGTGCGGCGTCAAAGAACGGCGTGGCAGACGCTGCTGCTGCTGCTGTTGCTGTTGCCGTGCCAGGGGTATGAAACGGCGTGGATTTCAAGCCGCTGGAAGTGGGGTTTGAGCCGCCCGAAGCGGGTTTAAAACCGCCAGGAGTGTGGAACGGCGTTGCTGCAACAGCAGGCGTGTGGAAGGGCGTTGGTGCGACAGAAGGAGTTTGGAACGGTGTGGAGGTGGTAAAAGGGGCGTCAGTGCGTTGTGCGGCGGTGGAGGGAGGGGCGTCAGCATCGTCGACCACCTGAGCGCGCAGCATTTGCGACAGTCGCACGTACTCTCGCCTGCATGCGACACACACGCGCACACACGCACACACACACACGCATGCACGACACACACACACGCATGCGCACGCGCACCCACACGTGCAGACGCGCACACACATATGCGCAATCACATTCACAAACAATCCCGACGACAAACGCGCCATCCTCGCGCACACACGCACAGAAGCACATAACCCGAACCCGGAAATGGACTGACGTTGATTGCACTCAGCGCGTCGACATAAAAGTCACCCAGCGGATTTTCAGAAAAACAGAACCTTTCGACACGAGGGGATAGCCAGCATCAGCCGCCACGCCATCAGGGTGTTCAAAAAATCACCCTCGAAAAAACAGTGTACTCACATGGATAGGGACTTTCCACCCAAAGGCGGATCGCCAGCACCAGCCGCCACACCGTCAGCTAGGCTGAGGTCTGCCCGGTCGTCCTCCCCTCCACGCGCAGGCTCCTCTTGCCGTTGCGATCCTGGCGGAAGTACCGAGAACGGACGGGGGAAGACGGCAGAGAGAGACAGGGAAAGAGAGCAACACAGAGCGGGAGAGAGAGGACGGGGGGATTAGGCGCGTTTGCTGGCACACGTGAAAAACGCAATGGTAGAAGAAAGAGATTGGTTCTGCAACTTGTTGCTAGGGTTTGGTTGACCTCTGTCTAGGGCATCGCAGCCCTTTCGACGGTCCAACTTAGCAAAAACGAATACATCAAATTAGGGTTTCGGAAAGCAGGAATACGTAAAGAGTTACGTTACCTGACGAAAGACAGTATAATAAGGGTTCGAACAGGAACGTTTTGTGTCTTCTCAGCGGTATAATGCGCGGGCTGGTTCAATGGACGTCGATTCCGCAATGAACGTCTGAAATGGTCGTACCTGCGTTACCGCGGGCAGCGTCGCTCGCCTGATCGCCGCTCCGTCGCCAGCCAATCATATTCAGCACCGCGCCACCAATTCCTCCGAGCCAACCCTTCTTTTGCGAGCCTCCGTCTTTGCCTCCCGCTGGAGCAGCAGCACCAGCGGAGGCTGTAGCAGCGGCTGTAGCAGCAGCGGCGGCCAGTTGGCCGGCAGCGGCGTGTCTTCCCGTCGCCGGCCGGCTGTACGGCGTGTCCGCTCGCACTCCATATCGCCTGGATCTACCGAGTTTTCCGCCTGTTCCCCCTAGTCCTCCTGTTCCCTCTGCTCCGTAAGGTGTTGAGGCTCTATCAAAGAGATGCCCTGAGGCGACAAAATCTGTCGCACGGAACGTCGCATCGTTTGTGAAGCTGGTCGGAAATGCGAATTCTGTGGCGTGCGACGAAGCCATAGCTCAGCACACACGACCGTTTGATTTACGACACGAACACGCCCGTCGGCTAACAAGTTAAGAACGACCGACTAACACGTTTAGGGCATCTGTCAACTAGAGACCAAGAAATACCTCCTCATCTGCTTATCCCACTCATCAGCACCCAATCGCGAGCTCCACCAAAACAGATCGAGCCATCTGAGCAGGTGGACCAAAGCAAAAGAAGAGGTGAAAAAGAGGTGGAGCCCGAGAGATCGGGACGGGAAAATGAAAGCAACAGAAGAAACGCATCGATCAAATCGGGAGTCGAGACTCGGGACGGGACTCGAGGGGGGGAAGAAACGCGCAGAAATGGATTGGTCCGCTCAGCTCCGCTCTGCTTCGCTTCCCTGAGCCTGCGCGGACTGACAGAACGGGCGCGCGGGATAACCCTGAAAATGCCGAGCCTGAACTTTTTTGCGTCCCAAAGGTTCCACCTGACCTCGAGGTTTCGCCACGTCGCTGCGCCAAAAACCCAGAAGGTTTGAATGAGGTGAGGTGAAGCTGGTTGTTACGGGTGCAATGAATCGAGGTAGCGAGAATTGCACTAAGGTGTCAAACGAGTACAAAATGTGAGCGAAGGCATGAGCGAACATTTATACGCGAAACATGCAAAACGGTAACGCGGTGCGTGCGAGCTTGCTAGTGCTACGCTGGAGCGAGGCTCGGGCTAGTCCCGAAGCGTAGGCCGATACGGCCATGCCAGCAGTGCGAGGTTTGGCAAAACAGTGCGCGCGAAGTCGGCGAAGTTCCGTTAGCAGTAACGGGCGAACAATCGGCTGTTGCTGTACGCGATGTAGTCGGCTCCGTAAGGAATGCCGAGAAAATTCCTTACACTACCCCCCCCCTTAAGAAGCCCCCTCCGCTACGCAAGTGCGTGTATGTCGCGGAATCCCCGGCTCCTCAGGTACACTTGCAGGGCAGGGTGATTTTCGATGTTGCTCAGGGGCACCCAGCTATCTTCAGTTGGCGTGCGGTCTTTCCAGCGAACGAGGAATTCAATCCTCCTGATTCCCGTGGAGTGGCGGATCCGATGGCTCAGATTTTTTTCGGGCTCGATGATCGGCTCTGATGCAGGGCGAGTCATTGATTGTGGCCGGTGACGGGGCAGTTGACTTGTGGTCGGGATGTATGGGCGAAGTAGGCTGATGTGGAACGAAGGGCTGATATACCAGTCGGTTGGCAACAGTAGGTGTGCGGTGACAGGTGTGATAATGTGACTGATTTGGAATGGTCCACAGTAGCGCGGTCGTAATTTTGGTACGTCGGGCAGTCGCAGATTTTGCGTGTCGAGTAGCACGTAATCTCCAGATTGATGCGTGACAGGGCGGCGGTGGCGATCAGCGTTGCGCTTAGCGATGACGTTGGCCTTTTTTATTGCTTCGGCGGCTCTGGCGCGGGCAGCTTGAAGGATTTCAGCGAATTGTTGTGCACGTGGCGTTGGGTTGTCCGGACTCGGCGTCATGGGCACTGTGGGATTTTGCCCATAGTTCAGGTAGAACGGGGACTGCTGCGTCGTGGCTGATGTGGCGTTGTTGTACGCGAACTCGATCAGCGGCAACTGCTGCTCCCAGGTCGTAGGGTCGTCGCACGTGGCACGAATCAACTGCTCCATCGTCTGATTCGTCCGCTCCGTTTGGCCGTCGGTCTCGGGGTGGTACGACGAACTGAACTGTAGCCTGGTCCCGAACTGCTCCCAGAGGTTCTTCCAGAAGTTGCTGGTAAACTTCGTGTCCCTGTCGCTGATAATTGCTGCTGGTATCCCGTGCAGGCGGACAACGGCTGCGATGAACAGGCGAGCGGTCTCTTCGGCTGAGATCGACTTTTTGCACGCAGCGAAGTGTGCCATCTTCGTCAACCTATCCACGACGACCATCACCGCGTCGTTACCCCCAGGGTTCGATGGTAACCCTATGACGAAGTCCATGGTTACTTGCTGCCAGGCGCGTTCGGGCGGTGGGATCGGCTGCAATTGACCCGCCTTCCGCTTCCTTGAACTCTTCATCACCTGACACGTCGGGCACGAGCCCACGTGCTGCTGTACGTCGGTCAACAGCTCCGGCCAGTAATAATACCGCTGCAGTTGCTGTCGCGTTTTTTCTACCCCGAAATGTCCCGAGGTAATCCCGTCGTGTGCCTCCTGCAGTAGCAGCTCCCTCAGTAGTGAGTATGCGGGTACCCAAATGCGGTTGGTGCCTGTTTTTACGTAATAGACTCCTTTTGCTTCTGCCAGTTGCTGTGAATTTCCGGTCGTGAAAAATGGGTCGGTGCGGTATCCGTGGGTGAATAGGCCAGTTAAAAGCGGGTTGGTCTGGGCGAGTAGGATGGCGTGGAGTTGGGCGGTGGGGCGGGTGAGAGCGTCGGCGATGTTGGATGCACCTTTTTTGTACGTAACGGTGTAGTGAAAATTGGACTCGAGATAGTCCAACCAGCGAATCTGTCGTGGGTTGAGGTTCGGTTGGGCGCGAAGGTACTGTAGCGAGCGGTGGTCTGTCCGTACTGTCACGTGGGCGCCAGTCAGGTAACACCGCCAAACTTTGAACGCGTGCACGATCGCTAGCATCTCGCGGTCGTGTATCGGGTAGTTACGTTCGGGCGGGTGTAGTTTGCGGGACTCGTACGCGATTGGCTGGAGGCCATTCCCGAAGTCCTGCAACAGTACTGCTCCCACAGCGATGTCACTTGCGTCGGTGACGAGTTCGAACGGACGGTGGGGATCTGCAATGTGAAGGACGGGCGGTAGCTTTTGAGGGCCGAGAAGGCAGCTTGCTCTTTCTCCCCCCACGTGTACTCAACCCCCTTCCTCAGCAGGTCGGTCAACGGGGCAGTCAGCTTCGCCATGTCGGGGGCGAACCGGCGCACGTAGTTGACGAACCCCAGGAAACTCTGCAACTCGGTCAAGTTGGTCGGCGCGTGCCAAGCCTGAATCGTCACAATTTTCTTCGGGTCTATTTCCACTCCTGCAGCTGAAATAACGTGTCCCAAAAACTCCAGGCGGTCCTGTAAAAATTCACACTTAGATGCTTTGGTCAGTAGGCGGTTCTCACTCAGGATTTTAAAAACTGCTTCGATGTCTTGTAAGTGCAGTGCTCTGTCAGGGCTGTAAATCAGTATGTCGTCCAGATAAACGATGACGCACTTATCTAAAAGTGGGCGGAATGCTTCGTTCATGGTCATTTGGAAGGTGGCGGGGGCGTTGGTCAGTCCGAATGGCATGACGGTGTATTCGAAGGATCCGTAGCGTGTTCGGAATGCGGTTTTAGGGCAGTCGGGTGGGTTGACGCGGATTTGGTGGTAGCCTCCTCGGAGGTCGATTTTCGAGAAAACCCGGGCTGTGCGCAGTTGGTCGATCAGTTCGTCGGCTCGTGGGATGGGGTAACGGGATTTGATGGTAACCCTGTTCAGTGCCCTGTAGTCGATGCACATGCGAAACCCCCCGTCTTTTTTCGGTGTGAACAGTATGGGTGCGGCGAAGGGCGACGAGCTAGGGCGAATGAATTCCTTTTCGAGCAGGTAATCGAGCTGCTTCCTCAGTTCGTCTAGTTCGGGTTGGGTCAGTCGGAACTGTCGCTGTACTGTTGGCTGTGCCCCCGGTTTCAGTTCTATCCTGTGATCGTGCGGTCGCTGAGGTGGCAGTCCCGTCGGCAGGTCGTCCGGGAAAATGTCGCTGTACTGTTTTAACAGTGCCGCCAGGTCACTCGGTACGTCGGTCAGCAGTTTCTGTAAATCACCCTCCTTGTCTGCTGCTTCGGCTTCCCGAATGTCAACCGCGTACACGTCAGCTCCGGCCGCTACAGCGCGTTTCATCGTGATCGCATTGACACGCACCGACGAAGACTCAGGCGAGCCCCAGCGAGGTAAGGCGATGTTGTTACCGTTTACTCGCACGGTGCAGTCACCCGTCGTCCAGTCGATTCGCGGGTTGTGTCGTCGCAGCCAATCACGCCCGAGTAAAACGTCGGTTCCGTCGAGGGTCGTTGCGAGCATTTCTTGGCTAAACGTGAAGTTACCCCCGCATCGAATCCGAACTCGGTTTACGCATTCCCGTATTGCCAGCGGCGTGCCGTCTACCAGTCGTGCGTCGATCTCCGGTAAGCATCTGTCCAGTGGCAGTCGCAGTTTCCGTGCTGTGGCAGTGTTAATGAGGCTGTGGCTGGCTCCCCCGTCTACGAAGATTTTAACTAAGTCCGTCCCAATTTTCCCACTGAGCAGTATAGGGCTATCTACCGTGGTACCCTCCTTATTCGGCCGGGTGTGGTCGATTGCGTGAACCGGCACAATCACTCGGTGAGGGTCGGTTGGGTCGGGCGAGCAGCGTGACCTGTCAGTAGAGGGCCCGTCTGCTACTGACTTCCAGCGTTTCCCTGCTGCTTGGTCTGTGTCTGCTGCTCAGCTTCCCCCTTTCCCTTAGCGTTTTCCGGGCATTCGCTCTTGCGATGTCCCGGCCGATTGCACGCAAAGCAGCGCCCTTTAAACGGTGCGGCAGCGGCATTTGCGGCGACGGCGCGTATCGTGGCGCTTTCGTTCGTCCCACGAGGCCGATGTCCCCAGTTGTTGTTTCCGTAGGACCCCGGTCTCGGTCGGCGAAAGAAGTCGAGCTTCTCCGCCATAGCGAGGATTTCCTGAAACTCAGTGACGCCGCGAAGCTGGATTTCCTGAGCGATGTCCTGCTTCAGGCCGCCGATGTAGCGGTCGATGCGTTCGCTCTCATGCATGTAGCCCACCTGCTCGCATAGCGCCAGGAATCCGCTCGTGTAATCCTGGACGGAACTGAGTTGGCGCCAAGTGCGGAGCTTCTGTCGCGCCGAGATCGAGGCCGCGATTGGCTCAAATCGAGTGCGCAGACCTACGCACCACGCGTCCCACGTGGGATACTGGGGCACCTCCACGAAATACGACGGCGCCCAGGGTCCGGTTTGTCCTTCCCGTGTCGGTAGTGTCGCGTAGTCGGTCGGCTTCGTGACGATGACGTGCCACCAGTCCATGGCGGGTCCTCGCAGCAACGACACGGCGTATCGAATCTTCGCCGAGTCCTCCGAGACGTAGTTGGCGTCGAAGAAGACATTCATTGTGAATAACCACGCCTGAACGGTAGGACCACCCCGTTGACTCGGGTCAAAGCATGGCGGGCGCTGCGGCTTCAGCGGCATCAGTGACGGCAGTCCCGAATCGTGGGTTGGTGCCGAAATCGTGACGCGAGGCTGACTTGGGGCCGCATGCGTCGCTCTGGGGTGTGTCGTGCCGTGGTCGTCGTCTCCGTCGGGGCGGACGACGCCATCACTGGCCGCGCTCGCGGGTTGCCCCACACTCTCGTGCTGTGATGTTGAGGGTGCAGGTTGAATCGGGGTGCCAGGTGCTTGAGATTGTGCTCTCATGAGGTCATTTTGCAGTGATGAGCGTTCTGCCGTCAATGCCGCGATTTCCTCGGAGCTTTCGTGCAGTTGTCGCAGCAGATCGTTCAAACGCTCCTGCGTGAGAGTGGTGACGTCGATATTTTCGGCCATGACGAAGGGCGTCGGCTCGTCTTAGTCTAGGCGCAGTCGTGGCTGCACGCGTTTACGAGAGAACGCGAGGACAGCGGCTCCTAGGGGCTAAGGTGCGTGAGTCCCTTCGAGTGAGAAATCAAAAGTTGATTTCCTGGTGTGCGGAGATGCGCGGTCCGAAAAGAAAGGGGCTCTGATAACCAAGTGTTACGGGTGCAATGAATCGAGGTAGCGAGAATTGCACTAAGGTGTCAAACGAGTACAAAATGTGAGCGAAGGCATGAGCGAACATTTATACGCGAAACATGCAAAACGGTAACGCGGTGCGTGCGAGCTTGCTAGTGCTACGCTGGAGCGAGGCTCGGGCTAGTCCCGAAGCGTAGGCCGATACGGCCATGCCAGCAGTGCGAGGTTTGGCAAAACAGTGCGCGCGAAGTCGGCGAAGTTCCGTTAGCAGTAACGGGCGAACAATCGGCTGTTGCTGTACGCGATGTAGTCGGCTCCGTAAGGAATGCCGAGAAAATTCCTTACACTGGTACAGCAATACCCTCTGTGCATGAATCGAACTCCTGCACTTATTTGAAATGTTCCAATCCAAACCATTTACACAATCAAAACAGAACAAACACTCTGCAGTATGCACAACAGCACAGCTTTGTACCACCCGCAAATTCGTATATAACATCAACCTTGGGATTGTTGCACCCGTTATAATAGAGTTGAGGTAATGGCCTCAACTTATCACATATAGAAAGTTACGGTATACTTACCAGTGTTTCATATCCGCCTCAGCATTCAAACTCATGAAATAGGATCATATGCATGTGACATCCACGGGTGTAGAAGAGCTTCATCAGCTGTTGGTCTCTTATCAGGGTCCACCTGTAGCAGGAACGCCACAAACTCAAGGAACCCCTCATCTCCCATGGGCAGCCGGTGCTTGAGAGACGTCCTCTTGGGAATCAGATACTCCAATGCATCCGTCTCCTGTGGTGGCGGGAAGGGCAGGGGAGATGGGGTGGATGAAGAAGCATGCTTTCATCCACATGCCCCATCAACAGTTGGGCGTTGGTCTTTCTGGGAACGCAACACTCCAACACATCCATGTACTGTGGTGGCAGGACAGGGAACATAGAGGGGGGGGGGGGTGCAAGGGTGGGGGGGTGTGTGCGGAGGGGAAAGGTATAAGCTTCCAAGCCCTGAGAGACGCCTATGAGCCATGGGCAGTAGTGCATGAGAGACGCCTTCTTGGGAGTTGGAGATTTTTCAGAAGCCAGTGGTCCTGTCTTGTGAGTCTGTGACGCCCAGAAGGGGTTCATGTGCCCAGACGCCCACCACGCACACACCCAGTACAAACAAACCCCGTAGTACTCAACTCACCACCCTGATTCATTATCAGCTCACCGGGTTGCGCTCATAGAGCACGCGGTGCCGTGTGAAGTACGTGTGCACATCCTTGGCCCTGTGCAGGAGAGCATGAACTTCGAGTGCCCACCAACCGCGAGCATGAACCACGAGTGCACACCAACCGCGAGCATGAACCACGAGTGCCCACCAACCACGAGCCTGGTAAGGACAACTCCCAAGAATATCAACTTACTGGGTTGCACTCATACTGCACGCGGTGCCGTGTGAAGTACTTGTGGGCGTCCCTGGCCCTGCGCAAGAGGGCGGGGACCAGCCATGGGCCCTACAGAAGCCCCACCACACACACGCACACCTGGTGCAGACTTACCCCCCCACTGGCAGCTCACCGGGATCCTCTCATACAGCACGCGGTGCCGTGTGAAGTACTTGTGGGAATCTTTGGCCCTGCGTAGCAGAGCGGGGTCGATGGGCCCTATGATGCCCACCACGCGCGCCAGCAACGTTGCCAGGGAGTCGTTTTGAAAGAGCACCTGGTGTATGGGAAGGGGTGAGGGTGCAGCCGAGTGGGTACACGTGTGCAAAGTGCGCTGTCAAGGCTGCACAGCAGAGAGGGGTCGACGGGCCCTATGATGCCCACCACGCGCGCCAGCAGTGTTGCCAGTGAGTCGTTCTGGAAGAGCACCTGGCGTGGTGGGGTGCAAGTGGAGAAGCGTAGGTATATGTGTGCATCTTAGTGGGAATATACGCTCAAACCTGTTTGCGTTTAGCGTATACACGCTAGCGTGTATACGCAAAACGCTAAACGCTATCGAATACGCTATACAGTCGCCAATTTTTTTTTGGGGCAGCCCGGCCAGAAAATTTCAACGTATACGGTTCGCTTCGGAATTGCACGACGAAGACATTGGCGGGGTCAGATGGCACGTCCGCGCTGTGTGCTAGCGTGGACGTGGGTTGAAAGTTCGTGTCGCAAATGGAAAGTCACGTTCGTCGAGTCGCGCCTGCACATTCCCTCACATTTTGTGTTCACTATCAGTACCGCATTCAAACCCTTCGCAACCAACACCTCTCCAATTTTTGTTGGCCATCTTCCCATTCCCACAATCAACTCGCCATAAAACAAGCACACCCCCAACATCCAACTCATTAGGTCTTCTCTCGCTACCAGCAGAGCACTAGGCATTCCCTAGCGCATGGTGCCTATGTCGACGACTACTACCTCTCCTCTAACGCCACCGTCAGTTAACACCGTTGGCAGTTCGCAAACTCTTCTAACCGAGGCACGGGAGTATCTCCCCGACGTTGACCATGCCGTCTTCAAGCACTTCCGCATCATCAAGAGGGTCGAGGGAAAAGCTCAGCAGTACGAGTGCAAGTTCTGCAGCAACGTCTACACTGGTGCTGCCACCCGATGCGCGCAACACTTCACGTCGTGGAAGGGGATGAAACGCCGTGAAGTGGTGCTTTGCAAGGATGCGCCGCAAGATGTGCGCTTGGCCATGCGCGCGAAATACGAGGCAAAGGCTGCTGCGGCCGAAGAGAAGAGGCGGGCAGCGGCTGAAGCGGTTGCCGCGGTCAAGGCTAATGGTGTGAAGCGGGCGCGCATCACCGATTACCTTGATGGGGATGCGGCTGCAAGAAAGAGAGAAGCGGACGAGGCACTTGCGCTTGCTTGGGCCGCCCTCCATATCCCCGAGCGCCACATTGACCATCCTCTGATGGTCAATGCATTGAACCTCGTCAAGCGCGCCAGCGTCGACTACGTCCCTCCCAAGAGGAAATACATCAGCGTTGTTGGCCTTCTCTCGTGTCGCAACAAAATCGAGCAGGGTTTGGTGGGCATTAAGGCGAGCTGGAAGAGGACGGGCGTGACGGTTTCGTCCGACATGATGACGGACCGCAACGGCAGGCCGCAGGCCAACGTGCTTCTCGTAAACGATTCCGGCGCCGTCTTCACCGACTGTATTGATTGCAACATGGAGAGGAAAACCGGAGGTTACGTGGCGGGAATTCTTAGGCCCGTGGTGGAGGAAGTGGGTCCAGAAAACGTTGTTGCGTTCTGCATGGACGGGGGGTCGAACTATGCGGTGGCGGTGAAGCAGCTCTTACAGGAGTGGCCGCACATTCAGGATGTGCCGTGCGCCACTCACGTATTGGATCTTCTCATGGAAGATGTCGGGAAGATGGGATGGGCTAAGCCGGTGGTCGACAAGGGAGGGGAGATATCTAGCTTCGTCCGCAACCACCACTGGACCCGAGGGTACCTGCGGAAGCCGGAATTGGTGGAGGGGAAGGTTCTGCAGGCGCTGAAGCCGGCTGGAACCCGATTCGGGACCAACTACATAGCCATATCCCGGCTATGTGCGATGCGCGGCAGCCTTACCAACATGGTGACGAGCGAGGGTTGGAAGGAGTGGGCGGTAGGGGACCGGAAGAAATCGTGTGACGGGTTCAGTGCGCTGATCCATGATGCCGCCTGGTGGAAGACGGCCGAGTTCTTCGTCGCACTGCTGAAGCTGCCCTTTAAGGTGATGAGGCAGACGGACGGGCATGCCGTGGGGATGATGGGGAGGCTGTACGATTTGATGCTGCAGTTGACTGAGGACGTGGGGGGCTTGCTCGATGAGGAGCAGCTGAGCGACGGGGACAAGGACAAGATCCGCCGCATCCTCAGAGACCGCTGGGACGGCAGCCTCGCATGCGCCATGCATGTCGCTGGCCGCATCCTCAACCCCGCGAATCAGGAAGAAGATATTTTCGGCACTGATCCCGAGTGCACGAAAGTCTTCAAGGCGTTCATCAGCCAGCAGGCCGAGTTCCTTGCGAGCCGCGGGGATGGGGGGGATGACACGTGCGACATCTTGCTTGAGCTGGGGGACGGGCTGAGGGCGTTCCTTGACATGAAGGGTTCTTTTGGGATGCCGTGGCACAGAGGAAGCTGGTGAAAGAGGGAAAGTATAGCATGGTGAAGTGGTGGCAGTGGAATGGGACTGATGCCCCTCGAGCGGCGGGGCTCGCGGTACGGGTGCTGTCTCAGGCCGTGTCAGCCTCACCTTGTGAGCGTGGATGGTCCTCGTGGGATGCCGTCCACACCGCACGTCGCAACAGGCTCGGATCCGCCAAGTGCAGGGACTTGGTCTATGTTGCGCACAACTGGAATGTTGTGCGCAACTGGCACACGCGCGTTGATGTCTTGCCACATGTGGTGCCCGGGATTGGAGCGGAGCCTCCAATCCCGGCGGGATACAATGGGCTGGAAGATGAGACGAAGGGAGAGGATGAGGAGGAAGGTGAAGACGACATCCTCGAAGACGAGTACGCTAACTAGAGGGGGCAAATGTGGCTTGCTGTGGGCAGCTAGTCCTAAGGAGTAGTAGTACGTAGTTTGTCTTAGAGAGAAGTGATGGTCGTGATGGAGTAGTGATGATAGTAGTGATGGTAAGTGATGATGGTAAGTGATGATAGTAGTGATGATAGTGATATTAGTAGTGATGACAGTAGTTATGTGTAGGCCGTGGTATGTGTAATGTGGAAAAAAAAATCTCTGAAAATTCAGGCCCCATACCCCACCCCCATACCCCCCCCCCCCCCCCCCCCCCGGGCCTTTTTTTGACCCTGCCCGGGAAGTTTTTTTTCTGCCCGAAAAAGCGTATTTCCAAACCCGTCCCTACAGCGTATAGCGTATATAAGAGTGCATATATACGATAAGCGTATATACGCAATAAGCGTATATTCCCACTTAGGTGTGCATGACCATGGCATCACACACAAGCACAAGTGGCCCCACGAAATGCAGCTGCTGCGCCCCCCCCCCTCCCCATCTTCCCATTCTTGCCCTTTCTCATCTTCCTGTACCCTTCTCCCTTCTCCCTACTCTCATCTCCCTTCTCCCTACTCTCATCTCCCTTCTCCCTACTCTCATCTCCCTTCTCCCTACTCTCATCTCCCTTCTCCCTACTCATCTCCCTTCTCCCTACTCTCATCTCCCTTCTCCCTACTCTCATCTCCCTTCTCTCTTCTCCCTCCCCCCCTTCCTTCCCCCCCTTCCTTCCCATCCTCCCTTCCTGCTCTCACCACTCCCTCTCCCTCCCTCCCTCTCCCTCCCCTCCCCAACCCTCCTTTCTCCGCCCCTCTCACCTGTCCAGAGCAGAGCTCGGCAAGAATGCATCCCAGCAACCACACATCAATCTTGGGCCCGTAGGGAAGCCCCAGGATGACCTCAGGCGCCTGGTACGAGCGTGACTACACGTACGCTTCCCAACCCTCCTCTCCCCTCCCTCTCATGGCCTCACCTGTCCAGAGCAGAGCTCAGCAAGAATGCATCCCAGCGACCACACATCAATCTTGGGCCCGTAGGGAAGCCCCAGGATGACCTCTGGCGCGCGGTACGACCGAGACTGCACGTACGAGCACAGCGCATCCCACGTGAAGCAGCTGCTGCCGATGTCGATCACCTTAACGAGGCAGCGCGAGTAGCTCTTAATGAGGATGTTTTCCGGCTTGAGATCGCAGTGGATTAGCCCCAGCGAGTGCATGAAGCGTAGGGCTTTCAAGATCTGCTTGGCTATGGACTGAGGGAGTAGAGGGAGGGAGGGGAAGGTGGGGAGTGGGGAAAGACAGCAGGGAGGGGAGGGGAGGTAGCGCAAGTAGCTCTTAATGAGGGTGTTGTGTGGCTTGAGGTCGCAGCATATCAGACCCAGCCAGTATATTTTGAGGCGCCTCAAAATGAGGGTGTTGTCTGGCTTGAGGTTGCAGCGTATCAGACCCAGCGAGTGCATGAAGCGTCGCGCCTTTAGGATCTGCTGCGCGATGGACTGGGAAGGGAGGGGGGCAGGGGGTGGGAAGGAGGGAGGGGAGGGGAAGGGGGGGGAAGGAGGGAGGGGAGGGGAAGGGGGGGGAAGGAGGGAGGGGAGGAGGTGTGGAAGATGGGGTTGATTGGATTGTAGGGGCTTCAGGGGCTGGAGAGAATGAGCCCAGCGAGTGCATGAAGCTGAGCTGCTCACCTGAATATGAGTCGACTCAAAAGCAGACCCAGCGAGTGCATGAAGCTGAGCTGCTCACCTGAATATGAGTCGACTCAAAAGCAGACCCAGCGAGTGCATGAAGCTGAGCTGCTCACCTGAATATGAGTCGACTCAAAAGCAGACCCAGCGAGTGCATGAAGCTGAGCTGCTCACCTGAATATGAGTCGACTCAAAAGCAGACCCAGCGAGTGCATGAAGCTGAGCTGCTCACCTGAATATGAGTCGACTCAAAAGCAGACCCAGCGAGTGCATGAAGCTGAGCTGCTCACCTGAATATGAGTCGACTCAAAAGCAGACCCAGCGAGTGCATGAAGCTGAGCTGCTCACCTGAATACGCGGCATGGTGAAATAAACCTCGCCTCCCGACTCCCGGTTGTACTTGTGAAACTCGTACAGGTTGGGCAGACCCCTCTCATGAAGGCCGACAGTAACAGCTGCAGCTGCATCTCACCTGAATGCGCGGCATGGTGAAATAAACCTCTCCTCCTGACTCCCGATTGTACTTGTGAAACTCGTACAGGTTGGCTCGTAGCAGCTCACATATTATGAAGAGATGCTCCTGATGGGGGTGGTGAGGGGGGGGAAAGGGTAAGGAAAGGGGAGGGGAAGGAGGAGGAGAATGGGGATGAACAAGGGGAGTTGTGAGTGGAACTCGTACAGGTTGGCTCGTAGCAACTCGCAGATGATAAACAAATGCTCCTGGGAGGGAGCCGAGGATGAACAAGTGAGGAGAGGAAACAGCGGGGTGACGAGAGAGAGAGGTGTGGAACAAGAGAGTGAGAGGAAGGGAAGCTTGCTGCTCCTAAAGCGGCAACACCGCTGCCCACACAAGCATCTACACCATCAACACCAGCAGCTACGCCTCTACCACCACATACAGCAGCACCATCAGTATCGGTGGTGGTTGTGGTGGTGGTGCTGCTGTCCCACTCCCGACCCACCACCCCGCTGTCCTTCCTGACGATACTCACTCACCCTCTCACACTCACACATGCTCCCAGTTACTCACCCAGTGGTAGAAGTAATCATACATCCGCAGCAGGCAGTGATGTCCGCCGGATCATGCCAGCAGCCCCCAGCCATCCCTCCCCCATCCCATGCACTTCCCCACTGCCCATTCTAGCGCACACACACCCACCCACCCAATCACACAGCAATGTGCGCCCACCCACTCACCCGGTCGGTGGTAGAAGTAATCATACATCCGCAGCAGGCAGTGATCGTCCGCGGGATCATGCTGAATGATAAACTTGAGCAGCTTTATCTCGTCCAAGCTCTGGTCGAAGAAATCCTTGTTGTTCTTTATGATCTTCAGACTCACTCACCCAACCAACCACTCGCTCACTCCCTTACTCCCTCCCTCCCTCCCACCATCTCTCCCTCCCTCCCTCCCCCAGCTCACCCGGTGGTAGAAGTAATCATACATCCGCAGCAGGCAGTGCTCGTCCGCAGGGTCATGCATGTTAATAAACTTCAACAATTTGATCTCGTCCAGGCTCTGGTCGAAGAAGTCCTTGTTGTTCTTGATGATCTTCATGCACACGTCCATGCCCGTGTGCAGGTCGTGTGCTTGGATCGCCTTGCTGAACGCTGCTGCCCCCAGGTATTCCGTTACGTAGTATCGCCCCGCTATCACTGAGTTGAGGACCACTGGGAAGTCCTTGTCCTCCTCAAACCCCGTTCTGCGAAGCAGGGAGGCAAGGAGGTAGGGGAGGAAGCAGGGAGGCAAGGAGGTAGGGGAGGAAGCAGGGAGGCAAGGAGGTAGGGGAGGAAGCAGGGAGGCAAGGAGGCAGGGGAGGAAGCAGGGAGGCAAGGAGGTAGGGGAGGAAGCAGGGAGGCAAGGAGGTAGGGGAGGAAGCAGGGAAAGGGAATGATCTTCATGCACACGTCCATGCCCGTGTGCAGGTCGTGTGCTTGGATCGCCTTGCTGAACGCCGCTGCCCCCAGGTACTCTGTCACGTAGTATCGACCTGCTATCACTGAGTTGAGGACCACTGGAAAGTCCTTGTCCTCCTCAAACCCCGTTCTGGTGGGGACGTGGTGGGGAGACACACAAGGAGGGGACGGGGTCGTTAGGTCTCTATGCGACATGGTGTTTATCGGGAATGCGTCTTGTTTTGAACAGACGCAGAAGTGACGTTTGAGTCGACGCAAAGAGCTTCTCACCTGTTCTTTCTATGGATGACTCTCAAACTGAACGTCTCAAACTCCTCCTCCTTTTTCGCCTTCCCTTCCTCCTTCCCCTTCCCCTCCTCCTTCCCCTTCCCCTCCTCTTTATCCATTACTGCTGCCTGCTCCCCACTCTTTGCCTTCTTCTCAGCACCCACTGCCCCATCCCCTCCTTCCTTTCCCACTGCCTTCCCGCTCCCTGCTGCTCCCGCACTCGCTTCATCCTGCTTCTTCTCTTCCTCTCCCGTTCCCACCTCTCCCCCCCCCATTCCCCCCAATCCCCCCAATCCCCCCACCTCCCCCACCTCCCCCAACTCCCCCACTGCAACAGATTCCACTGAAAGCCTCGACCGCCTATCCCCACCCACACTACTCCGTGCACTCCCCCCCTCACTCCCCGCCCCACTCCTCCCCTCCCCTCCTCCCCCACCCACACTCCCTTTTTCCGCAAAATCCCAGTTCCCCGAAGCTGTCTGGGCCAGCTTGGGGAACGTACCACTAGCATGTTTCTTCCAAACCTCTAAAGTGCTATCAGCCACGCTCCCCATTCTCTCTAACTCGTGCTCTAGCTCCTGTTCCCCCATGCCTGCTGCTCCGCTGCTGCCCAGAGACGGGGGAGTTAACCCCTCCCCCAGCCCCGACCACCCGGAGTTACCCCGCGAAAGCCCCTCGTTACTCGAGGGCGAGTGGAATGAAAAGCCCCCCCCTTCCCCATCGTGCCCAAACCCACCTCCCTCATCCCCTCCTCCCCTGTCTCTTCCCCCCCCACACCCTCCAAAGTCCTCCCAAAACCCACCTCCCCCACCCTCCGCCCCTTGCTCGTCGTCCCTCTGGCCATCCTCCGCAACCTCCCCTGCCCCGCTCCCATTGCCCCTCGCCCCGTCTCCTACAATCACATTCTGTAACAGCACACCCCTGCCACCCTTCCTATCAGCACTCTTAGAGGCACCACAATCCACGCCACCAGCGCCACTGGTCCTCGTATCAATGAGATCCACAGCACTCCCTCCCTCCACCACCTCTGCCCCACCGTTCAACCTCTCCCCTCCACCCCCTCGCCCTTTCTCCCCCTCGTCAACACCCTCTGCCCCCCCTGCTGCAGCGCCTGCTGCCCCGCTCCCTGATTTTGCCCCCTCCCCTGCCCCACTACCCTTCTGCACCGCTTCAGAACTCATCTCCACCCCTTCCCCTGCAGTCCCACTGCTGCTCCACTTCTCTGCCTCACGGACCGACAAGTCCTTATCCAAAGCACTCCCCTCTCCCCCACTCTTACCCTCCGATCCCTTGCTGCTGCTGCCCCCCTTCTCATCCGTCAATGCACCCGCGCCTTCACCCTTACCCACTGATACCTTGCTGCTGCTCGCCTTCTCGTCATCAGCTTCCGATTCCAACTCATACAATAGGAACCTCTCCTCATCTTCCACTAATCTCCTCACATACCCCACGTCCTCCTCATCTTCATACGCGTCAGAGTCAGACCCACTAACCTCTAACAGCAGCATCTCGCTATAATCCACCTCCTGCCCGCGCTCCCCCGCGTCTGACTCAGCAGCTGCTGACGTGGACCTGGTTACCACCGACGCTGACCCGTCCGCCGTCCCCGAACGAGACAGCACAGGCCCGGACCCTCCGCTTCCTCCCAACCCTCCCCTGGGCGAATTTCGAGTCAGCTCAAGAGGAGAGCTGCGAGTAAGCTCATGAGGCAAGCCTCCCAGCACATTCCCTGACCCTCCCTCTCCTGCTAACGCACTGGCACCATGCGGGCGCCTAATACCGAATTCCTCTGAGACCACCTGTGAGCCAACGACCACGGGGCCGATTGTGATTGTAGGGAGGGGCGAGGAGGGCGCGGAGGACCCCACGGGGCTGCGCTCCCCTGATGCCTGCCGCTGGTGCTGCCCCGCCCCCTGCTGCCCCCGTCCCTGATGCCCCTGTTGCTGGGGGGGAGCGGCCACGTCTCTCCGCCCATCCGTTTCCGCCAGTCCGTGCACTTCCCCCACCTCTCGAACACCGGGCACCGCTGCAAATTCCAGGACCTCTGTACCCACTTCCACCTCTCCCAACCCACCCACACCTTCCAACTCGTTCCCCCCGCTCCCTCTGTCGTTCCCCGCGCTCCCTCTTGCGCTTCCCCCACTGTTCTTCGCGCTTCCTCCGCTGCCCCTTGCGCTTCCCCCTGCGCCCCAGTCACTCCCCCCGCCGTCTCGCTCCCCGCCTCCTCTGCTCTCCCGCAGGGAACCAATCCCAAAGTCCAGCGACGCGACCAGGTTCACCCCCTCGCGGCTCTCTGCACTGAGGCGAATCGGCTTTAAACGGGGAAAACCACTGTCTAACGCGGACGCAAGTGGGGCGGCGTCAGCAGGGGAAGGTGCTATATCCAATACCGGAGCAGCTTTAGTAGGGGATTCGGTTAAGCCGAGAATAGGGTCTGCAACTACGAGAGGAACGAAATTGCGGCTCTCTGCTTCCTGCCCTCCCGTCGCACCGCGATCCCGATCCGAAGGCGCTAATGACGCCGAAGCTGCTTCTGCCGAACCTGCCGCTGCCGAACCTGATGCTGCCGAACCTGATTTCGCCGAACCTGCTGCCGAACCTGAGCTATTCGGTTCGGCAAGAGCGGCGGCGTGCAGAGAGGCGTCTTCCTCGAGAACTACGTCCAGGGATCGGGGGGACGGGAGAGACGTGGGGGACGGCAGGGACGGGGATTTCGGGAAATACGTCGTGGAAAACGGATGCTCGTTCTTAGGAGGAGGTGCTCCCGAAGAAGAGAGAGAAGAAAGATTTTGCGGCGGCTGACGAGGAGAGCGGCCCGGCGGAGTGACGGAGGGGGATTGCGTGGGGGGAGTGCCGGACGGGGATTGGGAGAAGGGGGGAGTGGCGGAGGGGGATTGCGCCATGGGCGGAGAGTGCGCGGGCGACCACGGCAGGCCGGCGTGTTCCAGGAACTGCGACGGCGCCGTGTTGCTCCGCGCGATCGCATTGAATCCCGCGAATCCCGCAAACCCGCCGCCGCTTCCGCCGCTGTTCCCCCCGCCGGTCCCGCCGCCGCTGCTGGCGCCGCCACCTGCGCCGGAAAACCCGGAGCCGCCATTAAACATTTGGTCCTGCTTCATCCAGAGGAAGAGATTCACGTCCATGTCGGACGGGTCGGGCGGAGGGCGGGAGGAGGAGGAGGAGGCGCCGGCGGCGGCGGAGGAGGCGGGAGGAGATGACTGCTGAAACTTCTGAGAAGGAAACTTCTGCGAAGGACGTTTCTGCGACGCCTGCTTCTGCGACATTTCGAGTCGCAGCGCCTCCGCGGCCCTGTGGAGGTTGTTCCGCTCCAAGTACTCCACGATGGCTCCTAACGTGTCGCCCATGGCGGATGGCGAATCCCGCGCTGAGCGCGGCGATAAGAAATCTGTCGACGCGCGGATGTGCTACGCGCGGAGAAGCTACGCGCGGAGATATTACATGCGGAGATGCTATGCGCAGCACCCTATCCTTCTTCGCCTGACGGTCTCGACGACATTTCAAGTAGCAGTAATCAATCACGTCGACGGATGATCATGATAAAATATGGACTAACGTGGTGTCCGGTCACAGCAAACCTGGAATCGCGACAGCACACAGCAGATGGCCGGTCTATCAGTGGTGTCAGGTCCGGTGTCCCTGATCTCCACCTCTGCTTCGGTTCAGTGCTCACGAGGTAACCCTAAACTAGAGATTATCGATAGAATAATGTCGACGCCCCGCAAAGTTCTAGAGACATTGCTCTCAGCACACCACCATATCACCGTACCACACGTTATCTGCTAGCTATCTAGAGAAAATAGCAAATTACAGTAGTACCAGTAACATAGTCAAATTCAGCAAGCAGAAAGTTGCAGGTAGACGGTGACATCGCAACACCTGAGTTGGATGTTTCCAGAGTCCGTAGTTGAAGCGAGGTCCTCAACTACACTTTGTGTTTCAGTACGCTATAGTACGGTGGCAGTAGGTTGCTGTCCGAACAGATTGACGGATGATGATGCATTGAATGTACAGATCCACACTACTCTGACACCCCATACTGTCAAGCTGCACAAAGCCCAAGGCGTATCGCCGCCGCACAACTGACAATCCACCCTCACCAGATTGGTTGAACCGCGCAAAAGCCTGTAACGCGGAAAATTACAGTGTTATCAAGGGTTGATTGGCTTGTGCGCAAATTGGTATGACGGAATACCAGTATGCACACGTGTGTCTCTTCCAGAGGATACCCAATATCTCACAAGAATACTTCAAAAACCTTATGTACCTAATCCAATATATCAGAGCCAAAGAACGTCTATTACTGCTGAACAATGATCCATTATCCATATGCTTCAGTCCGCAACCAGTCCTCTAGAGGACTGGTCATTTCATTGTCCCAATTCTACAGATACTTCAAGACCTTTCACCATCATGTAGCTTGACTGAATCTACAATCAGCCTAGGCCGTGGATGCAGTTACCACTCCATGTGACACCCCCTTTCCAACCTTTGACTTGAGGCCCATTGCTTTCCCCGAAACGCCTTTATCCTTGCTTCCAACCGCACCATTGCACAACCCATGTCCACCATTCTTGTTGTGCCCAGACTTCTCAGAATGCTGCTGCTGCTGCGTCTGCTGCGCCTGTTGTGGCTGCTGCTGGTGCTGCAGGAGCTGCTGCTGGCGCTGCTGCGCCTGTTGTGGCTGCTGCTGGTGCTGCAGGAGCTGCTGCTGGCGCTGCTGCTGCTCCGCTGACACTGCCTGCTGCTGTGCGTTGCAGAGGTGGCGGCAGGAGAGGAAGAAGAGCAGCGAGTGATATCCCACCAGGGCCATCACTGCATACCCCTCCCACCACCGCGACCACACCAGCAGCAGCAGCACCTGCGACGCCTGGTGTGCACATGAGGATTGAGGGTAAAAACATCGGGTTTAGGGTATGTATGTTGGACAGCGACATTCGCACAAGTGTTTTGAGACGTCTCAAAACACTTCTTCATACACGTGGCTACATCGGGTTTAGGGTATGTATGTTGGACAGCGACGCTCGCACAAGTGTTTTGAGACGTCTCAGAACACTTCTCCATACACGTGGCTACATCGGGTTTAGGGTATGTATGTTGGACAGCGACATTCGCACAAGAGCAATAACATTGGTGCCGGGCTCGGGGCGGAAGAGACTGGGTGGAAGAGGTGGGAGAGGAAACGGCAATACAATCGGGCAACAGAACCCAGCACAAGGGCCCTGCATAGAGGGCATGTGACCGTCAATAGGTGGTGCACACGTCAAGGCCAGGACAGGGCGCGGGACAGAACGCCCTATGAGTACAAATGTCAAGTGAAGTGAAAAAAGAAGAAGAAAAAAGGATGAGCAGGGTGTCAACTCAGCCTGGCCCCTCACCGAGACGCAAATCTGTGTGCCGACTACCCAGTTGGAGAAGACAAGCGGTTGGTGGTGCAGCAGCTGCACACACGGGCGCCGGGTTGACCGTGGAGGTGAGGTGAGAGACAGGAGGAAAATTGAGAGGCGGGTGAGATGAGAGCACTACTGCATCAACACCGCACATTACCCAGCGATTACAGTCTCAACCATAAGATTTAGGACAATATGGAATGAGGGAGCACTTTGAGTTGGCAGATTGAGTCTTAGCATCGAAAGAAACAGAACGGGAAAGGAGGGTGGGAGCGTTACAAAGAGGAGGGCGGCTGAGAGCGACCCAGGCTGGGCGGTGTTGAACCGGCCGAGCCCCACAAAGAGACGGCCCCCTCGCTGCACAATGGCACCCTCACTGTACGGCACACTGTGGGGGTTCCACTCCGCCACGTCCCTGGCGTTGTGGAAAGGTGCAAAGGCGACGAGGACGGGGGAGGAGGAACAGGAGGACTTGTGTGAGTGGCAGCCCTAAGCCCCCTCGCTGCACGATGGCGCCCTCGCTGTACGGCACACTGTGTGGGTTCCACTCCGCCACGTCCCTGCATGGCGATATTTGGGGGGAAGGAAACATCGAGGGTATGGAGACACTGTGGGCAAGGAGAGTGTAGCCCCCCACTTCACCCCTTCTCCCTCTCTGCACGATGGCTCCCTCACTGTACAGCACACTGTGGGGATTCCACTCCGCCACGTCCATGCATGGAAACAGTGAGGGCAAGGAGGGTCACGAGAGTGTGCATGCTGTGTGGGTTGAAGGGCGGGAGAGAATCCAGGAGCCTCTTTCACTCTCTCCTCTCTGCATGATGGCTCCGTCACTCTACGGCACACTGTGGGGATTCCACTCCGCCACGTCCCTGGTGTTGTGAGGTGGTGACGAGAAGAGAAGAGGAGCTAAGGATGGGAAATGACCAGGACTCGTGTGAGTGGCAGGCCCAAGTCCCTTCGCTGCATGATGTGTATAGCACCCTGACAGTGAGGCTGCTGTCCTCAAGCCATGCCAATGAGGCACTCAGCTCCTCACACACGCACCTGCTGATGGTGAAATTCGGCACGTCGACGCGGTGCCAGCACCCCAGGTGCGCCGCCACGTACTCCACCTGCTCCCGCCGCAGCACGGCCTCCTTCATCAGCAGCAGCATGGCCGCCCCTACAAACGCGTACCCCAGCAGCAGACAGCAGGAGAGACGGCTCACTAGTATGTCCTCGTGCATCTGTGGGGGGGGAGGAAGAAGGGGAGGAGGGGTGGTGGAGAAAGGGGAGGAGGAGGAAGCAGAAGAGACGGGTGAGGGAAGGAGATGCTTTGTATGGTGCAATGTTAGGTGGCAAAAGGCCAACAGTGTGAGTGCTTCTACAATATCGAATCTCAAACGCTCCTATCCCAAGCGCCCCTAACCCCAGAGCTCACATATGACCTTGGATGGGTACGACCCCCACGAGGTAGCTCCCCATGCACGCCTCCACGAGCACCAGGCGCATCAGCAGCTTGGGCTTGGGGCACACCCCAAGCACTTGGTTGCGCATGCACTTGGGTATCTGCGCACGAGCATGACTCACTTGAACATCCACATAGGTGCCTTGGGGATATATGCGCGGATGGAGACAGAGACTCACATAGGTGCCTTGGATGGGGACGACCCCCACCAGGTAGCTGCCCATGCACGCCTCCACCAGCACCAGGCGCATCAGCAGCTTGGGCCAGCGCCGCAGCTTGCGGGTGAAGCGCGTGAAGTCGGACGGCGATGCAGACGCACCCCCAGAAGCACCACCGCCAATGCCACTGCTGCTACTCCTCATGCTTCCGCCCCTGCTGCCGCTGCTGCCGCTGCTGCTGCTGGCGCTGGTGGTGGTGAGGCTGGTGGTGGTGCTGCTGCTGCTGGTGCTGGTGCTGACAATGCGAGTCCTCGCATCGCTGCTGCTAGTGCTGGTACTGGTGCTGCCACCATTCATGGCACCTGTCTTGCTGCCGTCACTCCCTCCCTTCTCCCCTGCCTCCTCCCCAGGCGGCTCCCCATTGGCGATTTTCGTCTGTTGCGACGCCAAATGAACGCCCATTGCCTGGTTGTTGCTGGTTGGAACCGGATGCACGCCGCTTGCCTGCTGGCAGGGCGCTGCTGCATGCAGCGCCGCACCAGCCAGCGGGTTTTGCTGGGGGGCTGTGCAGTCGTGCAGGGATGGGGAGGAGTGGGGGTTGGAGGAGGGAGGAGCAGCGTGAGAGTGCGAGAGCGAGTTTAGACTTGGTGCATGGGAGGGGGGTTGAGGGAGGGAGGAGAGGGGAGGAGGAAGGGACGAGGTGGTTTGGCTCTGAGGGTGCAGTAGTGGTTGCTGTAGGGATTGTGATGAAAGCGAAGCTGTCACTGTGGAGGATGGAAGGACAGACAGGGGGGCTGTTGCTGCTGCTGCTACACCTGCTGCTGGCGGTACTGCTGCTGCTGCTGCAGTGCTCTTATCGGATGTGACAGAAGCGGAGAGGAGAGTGGCAGGGCGCAGGGAAGGGAGCGAGGGAGGAGGGGAGGAGGAAGGGGCGTCGCGGTGAAGGGATCTAATCTGGTGGTTGAGCAGAGCAACGATGATGGCGTAACAGATGGGCCTGGTGCGGGCGAGGGGGGCATTGAGAGGGATTCAAGGGGATGGGAGGGGATGGGGGAGGATGGGAGGGGGGGGATGGGAGGGGATGGGAATGGGAGAGGATGGGATAGGGAGAGGATGGGGGAGGATGGGGGAGGATGGGGGAGGATGGGGGAGGATGGGGGAGGATGGGAGGAGATTGGAGAGGATTGGAGAGGGGGATTGGAGGGGATGGGAGGGAATTGGAAAATTTCAATAGGGCAGAGACTCTGGACTTGGCTAGCAAGGATAGTAGGGATTTCGAAGATATGGAGGCGGAAAATAAAGACGCTTCACAAAAGAGTGCAGCAGTGGTGAATGCAACTCGAACCAACCAAGGGCACACAAGGGCAAGGCAACAGATTGTGAGAAGGGGGACACACGGGACGAAGAGCAGCAGCTGCGACTGCCAGGGGAGGGTAAGGGAGAGCTTGAGCGCGAGGAGTGCCACAGCTGCCACGTACAGCCCCACCTGTGATGCGCAACACAGAACGGGATGAGAGAGGAGCGAGAAGGGGCGATGAGAGAGGCGATGAGAGAGGAACGGGGAGGGGGCGATGAGAGAGGAGCAAGGACGGGGCGATGAAGGCGCAGGAGAAGGAGTTCAAAGCAGGAGATCGGTCACACCGCGGATGCTTCTGCTGGGCATAGCGCTCCAGACAAGAGCGGAAACAACGGAAAGCAGAGAGCAAGGAGCTAGGAACCAGAAACTGCTGTTGAAAGCCTAGACTGACGAGCGAGCGATGACGTGAAAAAACCAGCGTGTAGTGTACCAGAAGCAGGGAGCTGCAGGTGCCAGTGACGGCACCAATGGGCGGGAAGACATGCTGCTCCCACTGCCCATGACCTGAGCCTCTCCCAACTTCACCAAGCCCCGAATTGAGCAGGGAGTTCCCCTTCCCTGCGGAGTCCTCTCCCAGCAACAGCTCATTGCCCCCCTCTGGCGAGTCGAACCCGCCGCCTGAACCAGCAACATCCACCGCACCACCTGCCCCTCCTGCACCAATGGTGCTTCCACCAAAACTATACGGGTGGTGACTGCCAGGCTTTAAAGCCCCATTTCCTGCCATCATGCCGCTACCAGTCAACGGAAACGGCTCCCTGGCAGTAGTAGTAGCGGCTGCAGCAGCAGCAGCAGCATCAGCACCAGCACTGTCTTTATCTCCCCCCCGCCTACCCTCCCCCCCCGTCTTGCCATCTTTGCCCTTCACCCTCCACTCCTTCATACCACTGCTGGCCATCTCTTTTACACTCCTAGCCGCGCTAGCAGCTGCACCGTTCGCCACAGAGCCAGCACCGCTGACAGAGCCAGTACGCGCAAGGACGCTTTCGTTCCTCCTACTGCTCAGGAAAAATCGACTGAGGAAGCTGCTGCTATGAATGCTGCCATTGACGGACTGAAAGGTGGCAGGTGGGGAGGGTTTATTGGCGGCAGGTAGGTGGAAGTCGATGAAGCAGGCGACTATTCGGCGCAGGAGGAGCAGACAGACCAGAAGAACCTGCAATGGGAGGGCGTGCGGGCGTGTGGGTGTGATGAGAAAGAGGCACAAGGGAAGTCGGAGTGGGTTGGACGGATACAAAGGAGCCAGAGGATAGTGGTGACGAGATTCGTTTGGATGGTACAGAGGCACGATCGGCACACACGTGTGCGTGCGGTACAGGGTACAGCACACGTGCAACACAGGTAACTTACCTACTGCGCACTGCTTAAGGTGTGCTAACGCGGATAGCTCGAACTCACGCGGTGTACGCACGACGTGGCAGTTAACACTGCGAGTCAACCCAAACACGAATGCCTTGAACCAAGTCCTCTTAGAACGCGGAGGCACTCACGACGTGGTAGTTGATATCATGGAGTGCGGAGCGGTGGAGGCAGAGCAGTTGGATGGCGAGGAAGACGCACATGTGCACAAAGAACATCGCCTCCACCCGCACCTCCCGCACCCCACCATCCCCCATCTTCCCCGCCTTGCTGCATCCGCTGCTACCACCTCCGCCACCGCTGGTACTGCCACTGCTGCTGCTGTTGCTTACCCCCCTAGTGCTGCTGGTCGACAACCCACCGTCCTCCCCGCCGCTGCTCTTACCAGCCGTGCTGCCTCGCTGGCCGGAATCCAAGTCCCCCTTCTCGCCACCTGCCTTCCTACTCGCCGCACTGACATTCACGCTGGAATCCCCTCTCTTGACCCCGTTAGAAGCAGTCCCAATAAGCGCAGAGGCCTCGCCCTGCGGCTGCTGCTGCTGGTGGGTCCGAGCTGGCCCGGCAGAATTAGGGTTGCTGGCGTAAGCGGACGCGTGATGGCCAGCATTCCTCTCAAGCCTATTCTTGGTCGGCTTGCGCCCTCCGCTTCCGCCTCTGGGGGTCGGAGAGGCGTCCCGGGGGAAGGCCGGCGGAATGGTTGCGCGGGTGGGCGACGAGGGTCCATTCGCGAGCGATCGGTTGGCGTGGCGCCTGTTTGAGCTCATGGCTAGAGCAGGGGGTTCACGCGAACAGAGAAGCAAAGGGTTTGAAAACCAAACCATTGGGGCTTGAAAGGAAAAGAGAAGGCGATTTATGAGTAGACTCGAAAGACGCCTGGTGGATCATGACTAGAACAGGGATTTCAAGCAAACCGTGATATTTGAAACGAGCAGGGGGGAAGAAAACAAAGAGTGAGATTCAGAAAACGCAGGAGAAAGAACAATGATTCGGAAACAAAGGACAAGAAGTCTAGAACGAAAAGTTACATCAATAAGAGTTGCCGTCGATTTCAAATCACCAGTGCAGGTAGGACAATTACGGCGGAAGAAAATAAGAACACGAAAAAACGCGCGCTGGTACCAGAGCCGATAATGTACGGAGTTACAGCTACGGAGGGAAGACGAGAAACTAGGGTTTGATTCGCATCGAGAAATATGGCGGCAATCTGAGCAGTAATCACAACGGGGCAACGAAAATGACTTCGACGTTACAAACGGTTGAAACATGGACTTACCCGCGAAGGGATCCGAGAACGCGGCGAAGCACCATGGATCGTGAAGTTACGAATCACTACTAACCCGGCTACTGTAGCTTCACCATCAATGATCAGAAATCACGCTGATCCTTTCCTCGTGCGACTAGGATACCTTGGTTCACACGCAACTGACACAGAAAATCCCTAGGAACGTAAAAGCTGTATTCTAGCTGTGGATTTGCGATGGCTCCTAACTATTTTGGTCTAGAATCTAGATGATGATCTCGATGCAAACCTCATAGGGCCGTCAGGCTTGCCTCGGGAACGCTACACATCAGGTTTGGTGGCACAATACCTGACGGTGTTGGTCGCTCTGACAGGTTCGGTATCTGATGTGTCGCTGGTTCGGCTTGATGAATCTTGTCCAATAAGGTGAGTGCATCTCCACTGTACGCTTACCGCGATGTCAAGCAGCAACTCCAATTTAGAATAGTGTTACGAGTGCAATTAAGTGAACGAACGAGAATTGCACTATCTAAGCAAGAGTACAATGAGCGAAGGCATGAGCGAACAATATATAGCGAAACTACAGTGGTAACGGTAATGGTCGCGCGACGAGCCTGGGACTGAGGTTGGGAAAGTGTCGAAGCGTAGGCCCGGAGCGCGGGTTACCAGCCGAGCCGTGAGGTCGGGATGCGATGTGCGAAAATGGCGGGATGATGAATGATGCGATGGTCGCGAGTGGTAACGGTGCTGACTGAGGTGCTACAGTGATGTACGCGTTGAGCAGGGACGCGAAGTAAGGAAAAGGGAATTTCCTTACACTACCCCCCCTCCTAAGGAGGTTTTCTTTACGAAAGTACGTGGACGTCTCTGAAATTTCGGCTGCGCAGATAGTCCGTGACGACAGGGTGGTTTTCGACTTTGTCCAGGGGAACCCAGTTGTCCTCGGTGGGGGTACGATCTTTCCAGCGGATCAGAAACTCCACTTTTCGGGTTCCTCGAGGGTCACGAACTCTGTGGCTCATGATTTTATCGGGTGTGATGACTGGTTCGGTTGGTGGTCGTGTCATGCTGAAGGGTCGATGTCGTGGGAGTTGGCTGGTGGATGGTACGTAAGGGCGAAGCAGGCTGACGTGGAACGAGGGGCTGACGAACCTCTCAGAATCCCAACCACTAGACCATTAGGATAAAAGGGCTTGTTTCAGTAGCGGGTCAGTGCGCCCATAACCCCCCAGGCAACCGTGCCTGTAACCCTTCCCTAGGATCAATCGGGGATCACCAGTGGACCTCTGACACCCCCCCGCACTGGGATGCCCGAAGTGCATACACCGGGATACGAACCCGAGACCTTCGCTCTGATACCATCTCAGAATCCCAACCACTAGACCATTGGGATAAAAGGGCTTGTTTCAGTAGCGGGTCAGTGCGCCCATAACCCCCCAGGCAACCGTGCCTGTAACCCTTCCCTAGGATCAATCGGGGATCACCAGTGGACCTCTGACAGAACCAGTCAGCAGGAAGAAGGAGGTGCGCGGTGACAGGCGTGATCATGTGACTGATTCGAAATGGCCCACTGTATCGAGGGCGGAGTTTGGGAGTGATGGGCAGGCGGAGGTTCTGAGTGTCGAGTAAAACGAGGTCGTCGGGCTGGTAAGTGACGGGTCTGCGGTGGCGATCGGCGTTGCGTTTAGCGATGATATTTGATTTTTTTATTGCTTCTACTGCCCTGGTCCGTGCTGCTTGCAAAATCTCGGCGAACTGTTGTGCTCGTGGGACGGGGTTATCGGGATTCGGTGTCATGGGTACTGTTGGGTCCTGTCAGTAATTCAAGTAAAACGGCGACTGTTGTGTCGTGGCTGATGGCGCGTTATTGTATGCGAACTCGATGAGGGGCAGCTGCTGTTCCCACGTGTTCGGATCGTCGCACGTGGCTCGAATCAGCTGCTCCATGGTCTGGTTTGTCCGTTCCGTCTGTCCGTCGGTTTCGGGGTGATAGGATGAACTGAATTGAAGTCGCATGCCGAACTGCTGCCACAGGTTCCGCCAGAAGTTGCTGGTAAATTTCGTGTCCCTGTCGCTGATGATCGACGCTGGTATCCCGTGTAGTCGAACGACGGTGGTGATGAAGAGTCGGGCCGTTTCCTCGGCTGTGATTGATTTCCTGCATGCTGCGAAGTGTGCCATTTTCGTCAGTCGATCGACGACGACCAGGATCGCGTCATTCCCACTCGCCCCAGCTGGTAACCCCGTGACGAAGTCCATCGTCACCTGCTGCCAAGCACGCTCTGGGGTTGGGATTGGTTGCAATTGTCCCGCCGGCCGCTTCCTGCTTGACTTCATGAGCTGGCAAGTGGGACACGATGCCACGTGTCGTTGCACGTCGGTCAACATTTCTGGCCAGTAGTAGTACCGCTGCAACTGCTGCCGTGTTTTTTCTACCCCGAAATGTCCTGAGGTAACGCCGTCGTGTGCCTCCTGTAGTAATAGTTCCCGTAGTAATGTGTACCCTGGTACCCAGATGCGGTCGGTTCCA